TAACGAATAATGGGGCGAAACCAATTTGCAGTTCTTGGTCTTATGCCTGGGGCATCAGGAGAGGAGATCAAGAAGGCTTTTAGGTCCCTCGCACTGCAATACCACCCAGATAAAAATAAGCATGCAGGAGCTGAAGAAAAGTTTAAAATCATGTGTGCAGCATACGACTTTCTCAAAGACGAGACAAATCGTCTATCACACGAGAGAGAATTGCGAGAAAATTTTGACCACAAGCGAAGACATAGAAAAGGACACAATGAAAAGCAATACACGTTTTCAAGTCAACAAGAAACCGATCCATTCGGACATTCACAGACGTTTGAAGACAGGTATAGACCAAAATTTTATAGAAAAGGATATGAAAGAACAAGCACAGACTCAAACAGCAGATCAAGACATGAAAGGAGGCATGAAAGAAGCAAACAGGAAACTAGCGGGGATCAAAAGTCAGAAAATAGTAGACGAGACTCTCAAAGGAAGAATAGAACAGACAACGAAGAGTTTAACCGGAGAGAACACAACAGGTTTATTCCAGGATTCATTTTCGAAGACTTCTTTTCTCTTTTTAGTGAACCATTTAAGTCTTTCGAGCAGGATTTCGGCTCGTTCCGTCAAAGAAGAGACCCATTCAGTGTGTTTCATAATTCGCACTTTGAGGATCAATTATTCGATAAACATTTTGAAGAACATTTTCATGTATTTCAAGAATTTGACAGGGAACCTATGACTCACTCATTTGGACCTTCAAATATTGAGGATATGATGAATGACTTCGAACCTTTTGCTGACGTTGGAAGGGATAGAGTCCATAGTCGGCGAAGGAATAAGCCTTCAAGACGAAATTATACTTCATTCCATTTTCGAGGAAACCCATTCAGAGACACACTTTAAGATGCTGCATTGAATAATCATTGGAAAAGACATAAACGGATAATTGAAATGATGCTAGAGTCATAACTAAAGAATTTGAATTTAAAACGTCTGATCATGTTTGCCAAAATTGCAAGTCTGTTAAACATGACTTAACATCTGCGAAAATATATTGCACTTTTAACTATTGTTATTCCTGATCAACATTACTTTGATATTAAAAGTTTATTTAAAGTGGAGTTCTCAATTTAAGCTAAGTATACAACGTTTTATTTCAAATTGATAAGATGCAATTACTTATACACACTCAAGATTCATTTCTGAAAAAAAATACTAGCAGTTAATATACAAGGTATAAAACTGTACAAAAAACCAACAAAATACAACAAAAATAACCCATACAAAACAAGATTAAAAATACAAAAAAAAAGTCATGAGTAATCTTCTAAGTCGTGTCAGTTTCATTACCTATACACTTAAGCCGCAATATCAAAACTCATAATAATAAAAATAGATTAACTAAATTCACTATTGGCGACATATTGGTTTTATTGTTGTTGCTTTCTAAACGTATATCAATGTTAGCATATTCGATACAAGAACACATTTAACAATAAATCAAAGAAGCAGGTTCTCTAAAATACGTTTGGGATGAATGGCGGGAAATTTTAAACTGTCAAAAGAAAAGAATATAGATGTTAGATTATCGTTGATTGCTTAATAAAAGCTTATTGGTTGCATAACCGAACCGAGAGAAAGTAACAATTAATTAAAAAAAGAGGTTCCGTAAAGTAGGTCGAAAGATGGTGTGTGTAAGTTAGAAGAGGATGAAATACATTCCTCCTACAATCTACCTATTATACCTAAATATTCTAAAAAGTTATTGCAGTGGTTTTCAAATGTGCAAAATATTAGGAACTCACCATCCATGAGCCACCGAAGTGAACGTCCACATTCCAACAGACTGTTGCTCCTTATCTTTACACCAGGCACAGCTCAACGGATTGTAGAATTATTAATTTTATACCACAGTTGCGCTTATGGTCAAGTTTGTTTTCGAATCAAAACAAATAAATACCATTGTATAACTGCTTTTCGTAATTAGTCATTATAAGGAATACTCAAATCCTACAGTTGGGAAAATAAAAGATAAATAACTATACCCTTGGTAATTACTTATTCCAAAGCGCTTCCAAATATACATTCAATTCTAAGAAAAAAATTTGAAATTCTCCATCAATCTAACAGGCTAAAGAAAATATTCCCTATCGTAGCATTCAAACTCGACAACAACATAAAAGACATCTTAGTGCACAAGATGCACAATTTACTATTTCATAAACAGACTAATGGCTGTGGACCATAGGGGAAAAATTGTGCATTATGCTCAAACATTAATGAGACCAAGGTATTTTGGGACAACACCGGAAAAGAATATACCATTCAGGGACAAATAACTGTAAAACCGCCGGCGTTGTCTTTGCAATTAACTGTACAAAATGCGAAAAACTTATATGTGTAGGATAAACAGGTGATACACTATATCAACGCGGATGCTATTGAACTTTTCAAAAATTAGAACAAACAAAACCGACGATCCGATAGCAAACCACTTCATTGAACATAATCATTCGATGAAAAATTTAAAAGTTACCGCCATAGAAAGAGTATTTGGAACAGAAATTTACAGAAAAACAAAAGAAGCCTTCAAAATAAAAAAAATTAAAAACTTTAGAGCCTGATGGACTCAACACAATGTATGAACGATAGTGAAAATATTTTATAAAAAAAGAAAAAAACGCGGCAAATGAACGTCATAGTATTAATTATAACGTAATGTAACCAAGTGGTGTAGTTGTTGTTTAAATGTTGCAATTTATTCCAATGAAGAAAGCCACAATGGCCGAAACGTATGGAATTTGGTGTTATAGTTTTTATTATATAGTTTTTATTATATAGTTTTATAATCAGAATAGGTTGATAAGATTCATTTTACATCATGATCATACTGATGAAGGATATCTGTTATCCAAAATATTTATAGTTATTTCTCATTTTATTGTTATTTTTTGGTGATGTTGTACCCTTTAAGACTGGTTATATATTATATTTTGTAGTGTACTGTATCATAATTATATGATCCATCGCCCCGTAAGATTTATCGTTGGCTATTATTCAGCCATTTCATCACTGAAGAGACATTAATTGTCGAAATCCGGATATGGTGTACACAAATCTTTGTTTGCGGTATACCATCTTTGCCGCAAGTTTATTGTTTTCTGTTTGGTATTAAATTTATAATTAAGATCCATTTATTACACCTTGTGATCCGTTTATTTGGTAATCGCCAATGACAGTCAGCAGGGTTTAAGAACATTTCTTCTTCGACCTGCTAGTCAAATGCGTTTTGTTAAAATATACTTTTTCACTTTTTTGTTTTTTTGGAAAATGTTGTTTGTGCTGTATTTAGACCCCTCTAACAAGTAATTTGTTTTGCATGCACACGTATAAAAATTGCGGTTTTTATCCAACGCAATCATAGGTTGGAATATTGTTTTCAATTTTGATTTGTTTATATTTTTTCGTTTTGGCTTGTATTATATTTGCCTTCGGGTTTATATGATCCGCTCATCCTATTTTGACTCCTCAAAATTCAAGAGTCTATCCTAAATTGAGGTAAATTATATGGCCTTCCAAATACCGTTTCGATTCTTAACATCACTGAAGAGACATTTATTGTCGAAATCCGGATATGGTGTACACATTTTTGCACCTCATGTTTGCGGTAAACCATCTTTTCCGCAGGTTTATTGTTTTCTGTTTGCTAATACATTAATAATAAGATCCATTTTGTTACATCTGGTGATCCGTTTATTTGGCAATCGCCAATGGCAGTCAGCAGGGTTTAAGAACATCAGTTGTTCGACCTGTTAGTCAAATGCGTTTTGTTAAAATTTACTTTTTCACTTTTTTGGTCTTCTGGAAAATGTTGTTTGTGCTGTATTTAAACCCCTCTACCAAGAAATTTGTTTTGCATACACACGTATAAAAATTGCGGTTTTTATCCAACGCAATCGTAGGTTTGAACGTTGTTTTCAATTTAGACTTGTATATATATATATTGATATTTTAAAACATTTACACACATTCATCATTTGTATACGTTTCTAAATATGTAATCTTCTGGGCAAAATGTTGCTAGATGACATACGTACAGAATGCGAGTATGAAATCCAAAGACAAAAAGGGTACTGCAGACACTATATAGATCGTAAAATCCAAAAAAAAATTCAAAATTAAAGCTAAGAAGTGATACATGATTATTTTTGGCTCATATGAACTCTTTCTGGGTTTAGCTTGCTGTTCGGTGTGAGCCAAGGCTCTGTGTTGAAGGCCGTACTTTGACCTATAATGGTTTACTTTTACAAATTGTGACTTGGATGGAGAGTTGTCTCATTAGCATTCATTCCACAACTTCTTATATCTATCTATGCATAATATATGTATTCTTAAATCTGAGTATGAGTAGGGTAATTTACTAGAGTTTCTCATCATCGGATTTACATAGTTTTGAATTTTAAATTAAGACCAAGTGTAGGGCAAATTAAACGTTTCAGAAAATATTTTTTTAGTAAAATATCTGATAAGTTCATACATACTAAGTTTTACCATGTTTATTAGTCATTATGCTTAACGCCAAGGGGAGGTCATAGGAAGTAAATTTATAAACAAATATGCAACTTTTCTGTTTTAAACAGTTAGATTTTATTTATTAAACAAAACTTTACGCGTAATCTTTTAGATATTATTATTATCAGTTTGACGTAGGGATTTTTAAGGTAATAACTGCTAACATTCACTTCACTGTATAAACAATGAAAAATGAGACATTATTGAAATTACAGATTGTTCCTCTGTGTGAAGTGAGCACGTTTATAGTGCTCACAGTACTGTTCCCAACAGTGACTCAATAAAGTACATATGGTTTGGGAATAGAAATATATTCAAATCATAATTCTATTCCGACTTTTTTTAACTCACATATAGATATAAGGAGGTGAAGTACAATTGCCATTGATACAACTATCCATCTGGGCCAAAAGGAGAAAATTATAAAGAAACTACATGTCTCTGTTCGGCCTTTAATAATGAGAAAAACCAATATTAAGCTATGCAAATGTTCAAACTGGCCTTTACATACAAGTGATATATTTATAGTCATTTATTACGTTGAGTAAGTAAAACCTTATGTATTTGACTTGCTAGGTTGTCCAACATCTGCCACTCTGTGTTTTGATTGGTGCTAGGGTGTCCAACATCTGCAACTCTGTGTTTTGATCGGTGCTAGGGTGTCCAACATCTGCAACTCTGTGTTTTGATTGGTGCTAGGGTGTCTAACATCTGAAACTCTGTGTTTTGATTGGTGCTAGGGTGTCTAACATCTGCCACTCAGTGTTTTGATTGGTAGTGTTACCCTTGGGATATCTGCATTATTCCAGTCGCCCTGTAAAATAAAAGAATATAAAACAGAATGCTGTGAACTTTGTCAACCGACATTTCGTTACTTATCAGTCCCCGAGGTTATCATCCGCTCAGTAGGCAGTGCTTCGGTACTGGCATGATTACAGGCCTTTCTTAAATTGTCCGTTTATAAACTTAGAAATTATTAAGAAATTAAAGGTTCGGCTCCCTCAGGAAAAGTTGACCTTAGATGGATTTTGGATATTATTTTCAGTTCCTTTTCTGTCATAAAGCTCTTCAGCTGTTTTGGTTCTTATACATCCTTGGTTTTCAAATACTATGGATGCATTATTATTGGTTGGATACCAATTTTCATGGATTTTGTGGGTAAGGGGGAACTACGAATTTAAAGGTTCAACGAATTACAAATTTTCCATAGGAATGTATGCAGACTTGATCAAAACCACGAAATTAAATATCTACGACAATGTAAGTTTTCCTCAATCCACAAAAATTGGTACCTACGAAAATGCATGAATCCACATTATTTGGCTATGAGCCTTCCCGATGAAGGTAAATCAAGAAGGCGCTTTGGACGCATGTAATAAATGTTGTTTTTATTGTTATATGGTAAATTCAATTTCACGATTGCAATAAAATTTCACTTACACTGAATCATATTTTCTATGCATCAAGACAAAGTGATAAAATGAAATTAAAGTAGTGGTTTTGATCATGTTTCAATTTGTCATATAAGAGTTACTTCGCTACTTTTTGTTTTCAGTTTTTTCGTATATTTTTTTAATTGTTGTGCTTCATTGCATTTTAATTTTGATTTACGTAAAACGGTTTCCACTTTAATTTTGGAGTAAAATTTCATCGACCTTTACTAGAATCTATTTAACAGAACACATGTTTTCTAATAATATTTTACCATCACTTTCCTAAAATGTCTGATTTACTAAATTAATATATGTCACTGATCGTTAGATGTAGACAAAATGCGCGTCTGTCGTACCAATTTATAAGACTGGTATCAGTACTTTTGTGAGTGTTTATATAATTGAAGCACAACTTGCAGATATCTTGAATTGCAACAACGATTGCAAATAACGTATACGTAAGAAAGATAGCTATAAACGGAAAGCTATGGCTTCTCAGCATAACCTGTATTTTAACAGACTTGTTTTATAACTTGAAGATGGTTTACATAATCTTTGATAGAGAAGAGGAAAGTAATATGAATAATTATAAACAACACATTCAAACAAAATTGAAAAAAAATGTAATTGAGAGGTACTCACTGGAAATCTGGTTCCGTCTGATCTGTTACATTGCATCGATAAGGGTGCGATGTCGTAAAATGTGCTCAACATCTGACTTGCATGATCAGACCATCTAATGGACTGGTAGTTTTCGGCAACGCTTTTCGTCGATGAGGTGTCATCGTTGTAACGTCTAAAAATGGAAAACGTTTTTAAATGTTTTGTTGAGATAAATGCAATAATATTGTACACTCATAGATGCAACAAAGATTCAACAGTTGTTCATGTATGACATATTGGTGTAATGTTGTAAAACGGGGAAAGATTTCATGAATAAACTCACCATGGAAACAGAATTAAAATTTTGTACGCTAGACGTGCGTTTCGTCTATAATAGTCTCTTCAGTAACGCTCGAATACAAAAAGTTAAAAAGGACAAATAATGTGTGAAGTTGAAGAGCATTGAAGACCCAAAATTCCAAAAGATTTAGACATATACAGATAAAATAATCTGTTCCTAGGGTAGAATATCTGTAGTAATCAGAAAAATCTAAGTTTTGTGAACAGTTAATTTATAATTATGACCATATCAATGATAATTTATATCAACGCAGAATTGTTGACTACAGGGCTGGTGATACCTTCGAGGAGGAAACATCCACCAGCAGTGGTATGGACCCAGTGGTTATAATTAAACTCATCATAAATAACAGGGTTATTAAAATTTTGAACGCCAGACGCGTCTTTCGTCAACAAAAGACTCATCAGTGACGCTCGAATCATGAAATTTCTAAGAAAGCGGCAGTAGATACCCAAGGGACATTTAAAACTCATAAGCTGAAAGGAAACTGGCAACGCCACGGGGAAAAAACAAAAAAAAGACGAAAAGACAAACATTTGAAACACTACATAAAAATCTAAAGACTAATCAACTCGAAACTTGCCACACACTGGGGTGATCTCATGTGCTCAGGAAGGGTGAGCAGAATCTCCTCCTTTTTTTTATACTAAGGATTCTTGTTATTTATTTCTATTTTCAGCGTAAGTATTAGTCTAAAATTTTTTTTCCAATGAATTAAGCAAAATAGTTACGTGTGAATAAGGCTGTTTATGAATAGCCTTTCCATTGGACAATCCATAGTTTAAAATAATACCCTTTTGATAAGTAACTATGTAAGTAATATGATATTATCATCTTACTTATTCATGAATCTGAAGAATCCCTGAAGGGCGTCCGAATCGACAGAACTCTTGCAGACTTCTAAATCAACTGCTGGATAGTAGTGAATGTAGTTTACACACATTTCTTCTCTGATTGAAAAGCCACCCTAAAAATAAGTATTATTCTGAGCTAACATTTATATTGGTTGTTTCACCATTTTGCCAAGTAATATTTCTATAACATATCTCTTACATGTAACCTAGTCAGAGATTTCTCTGACGTCCAACGGCTGTTTTTTCAGACAAGCTGGGGCCGTGGGACGTCAGAGCTCGTCCTATATCAAAAAGTGGATTTTGCCCGTCCAAAATGGATGCGCCGCCTCATTGCTTCTGGAGCCGACTGACGGCCTTAGATCCATATAAATAGGACCTCAATTTGTTCATTTTTCATTTATCTCTTCATTTATGTAAGTTTCATCTACCTGCCACCCCTTTTTTCTCATATTTGGACAGTTTTCACAGTAACCAATCGATTCCGGAGTTTTAACTTTCATTTTCAAATGGACGTCAAGTTACGAGAGACTTCGCCGCCTCGAGACTTAAGTATGCAAATTTTATGCTAATTTCGGCCTTGAACCTTCCTAGCCAAACATGATAACAATCGGAACACACTCCGCCATTCAGCTTATTTGCGTCGTAAATGAACGAGGTGTTAGATTATGTATTCATATTGACCCAGGGTCATTTGCATTCATCAGCTCCCATAATGCATTGCGCCTTACTTTTTCTCGTTGGTCACGTGACAATCTTTCAAAGTGAACGTTAAAATGCCGGAATCGATGGGTTACTGTGAAAACTGTCCAAATATGAGAAAATAAAGGGTGGCAGGTAGATGAAACTTACATAAATGAAGAGATAAATGACAAATGAACAAATTGAGGCCCGATTTATATGAATTCAAGGCCGTCAGTCGGCTCCAGAAACAACGAAGCGGCGCACCCATTTTGGACGGGCAAATATCCACTTTTTGATATGGGACGAACTCTGACGTCCCACGGCCCCAGCTTGTCTGGCAAAACAGCTGTTGGACGTCAGATCAACCTCGGGCTATTGTAACCAAACTCTTAAAATAATTTGTATGACTCTTTAAGCAACGTTCGCTGTATTATTAATTTGGAAATCAAATACACATCCTCATTGTAAAAAAAAGTATTTGTTTTTCTGTGTTTTCTGTCGATGAATACAATAGTTCGTTCTATTTATCACACGTTCTTCTGCCTGTCTATCGGGTTTTTAAAACTGACAAAACATAGATTCAAGGATAAGATATGTATTCTCACAACATTTTATATTCTTCTAAACTTCTACTGCTTGCACGCATGACTAGTAAACGTATTTTTTACTGAAACGGTCATTTTGATCTTAACATCATCTGAACAGTCTTACCGATAAGTTGTTAAGTCATGTTCAGTCTTTCAGTCAATTATTAGATGAATTGACTGCGGTAAATTCAGTACTGTTTAGACGACTCGCCTGAAGTCAATGCAGTACTGTTCAGTAGCTTTTCAGACAATTCAGTATGCTGTTGATCTGTCCAGGTGAATATCAACTACTGAACAGTCTGAACATAGACTGAACATATTTAAATGTTCTGATCAGTACTGAATTGGCTGCAGTGGATAAGTCTAAAAATTGACGGAAAAACTGAAATTGACTTTACAATATATTGTCCAGTCTTTTAACAGTTGTTAAGATTAAAATGACCGCTTAATGCCACTGCTGGTGGACGTTTCGTCCCCGAGGGTATCACCAGCCCAGTAGTCAGCACTTCGGTGTTGACATGAATATCAATTATATGGTCATTTTTATAAATTTTCTGTTCACAAAACTTTGATTTTTTCGAAAACTAAGGATTTTTCTTATCCCAGGAATAGATTACCTTAGCCGTATTTGGCAACAACTTTTTGGAATTTTGGGTCCTCAATGCTCCTCAACTTTGTATTTGTTTGGCTTTATAACTGTTTTGATCTGAGCGTCACTGATGAGTCTTATGTAGACGAAACGCGCGTCTGGCGTATTAAATTATAATCCTGGTACCTTTGATAACTTTTTTCAGACTAAAATTATTTTACTAGCGTTGAATACCATGAGTGTACTATTCTCAAAATTTTATTTTTTGATTTGTTATCAATTTTTATATAGATATTAAATAGTATCATATCTAGATTCGAAGCGTTAGGTCTAAAACCAACAGGGATTCTAAGAACAAACACAGTTATATTAGAGAAGGGGGACGATACTTAACTTGACGATGAAGGAACAGAAACTTTGGTAAAAAAAAACAAAAAAAACAAAAAAACCTTAGGCTGATTCGGAAAATGACTCTAGTATGACTTAAAACGCGCTTCAGGTAAGAGCCATCTAAGCGGCCCGAGGTCAAAGTGTTTTGAACAATAAATGCAAATTAAAAAATTCGGACCAACGCTTTCTCAATAATATTTTTACAGTTTAGTGTTCTTTTATGAGAAATAATGTCAAAATCATAGAAAATTTCATCAGCTCTTACTAATTATATATATAAATATATGGAAAAATATTATATTATGGCGTCTTAAATTCAGTGTGACAGCTTCAGACAGTTATTTTGACCTTTTTCAACTGGAACAAATCACTTATTTACCTTACATTTCATGTCCCATTTTTTTCAAAGTGTAATGTAACCTCCTCTCCCTCCTCCCAACTTTCTTTTTTATGCACAAAACATTAAGAAAAAAATTGTGAAGGTGTATTAAAAAATTGGAAGTAATATACTATCCACACTTAGGACTATATTCGTTTTTAGACAACGAAAGTCAAAGGTCGACAACCGTGTTCTCGTACCATCTGACGCTTAGAAAAGTTTTATAAAACTTGCACATCAATGTAGTTTGTGTAAAAAAAACATTATTTACTATTTAACGTTCTAGTAGAAGTGTCCCTAAAGCGGGGTTTTTGTGTACAAAGATACACACATTAAAATTAATAACACTAGAATCAGAGTTTTAATCATAAAATGAAAACAAAAGGATTTCTGCATATCAAAAAAGATAACAAATGTCAACACAAAAAAAAATTTCAATTCAAATCAGGTATTGAGCATACCAAGAGTGCATGACACGGGCACATTCAAGACAATTAAAATTGTGAAAATCTTGCAGGTATTTACCTGATCTTCTAAAAAAGTTTCACTTTATGTTACATGTATTTGTCTTTGCCAGACAGCTACATAGATTTTCTCGTGTAATTTTATTTTTATAGTAATGCTGAAGATTGATTTTTATCATATTTTACATTCAACAGATTGCTTACTAATGTAATGTTCTCTCTATCAAGTGTACTATCCTCACATGTAGTTATAAGACTGTCTCCCTACAAAACAAGGTAGTATAAATATATATGCTTGAAAACAATTGAAATTCGTCACTTTAAAATACTGTTTCGTTTCAAATAGTCTAAAATTGGATAAAGCGTATACGTATGAGCATGATACGTTTCTCTGGCTTAAAAACGCGCGTTATGTTATGTTATATAACACATTTATTAAACTTTTTTTGCAAATCACGGACTAAACCAGTCTATACAAAACAGCCAATTGAAAACAAAATCAATGTTCTAATCTGCAAAGGAGTTGCAACATTAGTATAAATATAAAGCATAATAAAGCAATATTATTTCTCATATTCTTAAGTTATGATGAACGATGTTCTTTTAAAATTTTTATCGCATTTAATGACATTTGTAACTATAGAAAACGTGCTGTGTGGATGCTGTAGAATGTGTCCCCGTGCTTGTAGTGTATGCCCTTATATTTTACAGTTATGAGTTTTTTGCTTGCGAGAGGGCTGTCTACTAATAGTTTTTATTATTACAATTTTTCTATTTCTTTAAATTTAAACTTAGGTTATCATATGTCGAAGCCTTTTATAGCCGACCATACGGTATGGGTTTTTCTCATTGTTGAAGGTTTGCCTATAATTGCTTACATCCACTTCATTTGAACTTTGGTGGATAGTTGTCTCATTGGCAATCATACCTCATCTCCTCATTTTTATTTGAAACATTCTTTTCATTTTGATCGATTGTAGTTTTATTACTATATTCTAACATAATAACACTTACCGGAAAAACATGGACCGGTTGTTGAAGTCTTCTTATCTCTTGAAAATGGGGACTATAATGGTTGTCTCTATTTAGTTCCGGTAATTCTTTTCCATTTCGGACATGCTTTGTATATACACGTTTTCCCGTCATATGCGTGTGCAGTTGTGAAGCATATATTGCTATGCCTGTTCTTGGTAACGCCTGTAAAATGGGAAAAAATGTATTGATGGAGTATCAAAAAATAAACAGGAACTAATATATTTTCTTACAAATATGTAAACAACCTATAAAAGTATGCCAACAAACATGTTTGCCTGAGATATCTCCTGGTGGTTTTCTTGCAATTAACATTAATTATATTTTAAACTAAGTTTGTTCCTTTTAAGCTACACCTGAATCAAAACTGAATATGTTACTAGATCTCCACTACTTTATTTAAAAAGGTGTTGCTTAATATATGATTTAATACTTGATTCTCACGATTCGTGTGCAATCAGGGATACAGTATCCTGTCAGAGAAAACAAATTCTGGTTTGGAGGAATCGCCATTTTGTTGGTATATTCCAACCCAAGCTCCATTATCCCTGAATCATATTTTCGTAATTTACTTGTTACATACAAACGGATGCCAGACGAGTCTTTTATACCTGTAAAATACTAGTGCTTTATGATATCGCAAAAATTGTATAAAATAAGATATACATATAACATAATCATAACATCAATAGAAATATTATCATTAAACAGGTATACGTGACAAGAGAAAATCAAAATGCATAGAGCATTTGAAAAGAATTACTAAGCTAATTTGGTGTGCCTTAAGTTTAATGGCAACATACCAAAACCACACTCTTTTTTTTTAGAAAAATGTTACATGTGAATAACAGTGATTTTTTACGAGGGGTTAGTATAACTATAATTCATGTTACCATTGATTAAAACTTTGTCACTATTTGTCTTTCTTGGATAGAATGTTCCTAAATTATACAGCCCTTGAAACCAAGTCCAGTCAGATTACAATAACGGGATAATAGACATTAAGCAAAACATTTGAAAAATGTGAAAACATCAACTAAAACATGTGTTACTGTATTAAATCATCGGTTGTTGTTATTGTTAAAGTATATTTTTGGACACATTATCTTTCTCGTTGATGTAGTGATGATGAGTCTAGAAGTCTTTGTATGTAAACAAATTAGATTGTTTCTGTTTCATAATTGGTTATATTAGAGGATGCGTTTGTATTTGTTTTCTCTCCTTAGTCTGTTTACATCTGGATTTATGACATTTCAACTGACATTAGATGTGAACTATATACCACCTTTATATTTAACAAGCATTCTGAGAGTACCGGTTAAGAATTCATTGTACTGGAACGAAATGCTAACTTGATCTATAACTTTGCATGGTGTAAACTATATAACAAATATCAAGTCAATATCTTCAAGCATGACTAAAAAAAGGGTAGAAAACTGATTATTTGAGTGAATTTTCTAAGTCCAAGGACCATAACTCTGCACAAAATCATCAGACCGGAACATAATTTGAACTTGATCTGTAACTTGTCATGATAAAAGTATATACCAAATTTCAAATCAAAATCTTCAAGCACGAAGAGAAAAAGTGTGGAAAACTGATTTGCCAGACTGACGGATGGTTTTTTCATGAAGTTAATAGTTGATAGTCGGAATTCGGTTAATAATTTTTTTATATATATATGTACACATAGATATAGGGTCTAAAATTATGCAAAACTTTCATATCGGCATCCGGTTTCATCTGGATAGCTACACGCGCCTGATGAAGCTAGCTAGACTAACGAAAAATTGCGTGAATCTACATAACATATATAACAAATATTTTTTATTACACTCGTTATCGTGTTGCAGTTACATTCTTCGGCATTTATACATATAGATATACATATTATTGGAAAAATATATCATCTGGAATAGATATTTTTCTTTCATAGAAGTGACATGATTGTCTTTTCTGAAAATTAAGTATCTCAGGTTAGCAATACATCATTACATGCATGGCTCGGCTAGTTTTCCTTTCATAACAAAGACGAATAACTACATTAGTTTGTAACCGTTAGCATTTGCATAAGCTGCATACAATCATTTTTGTTGTCTCTAATAATAATCGACTGACCTTTTGACATTTGACCTGAACCTTAGCATGCATCCAGCTAGCTACGGGTGAGGACAGTGCTGTTCTAAATCATAACATATGAACGTATTGCATGCATGTCTAAACTTTAATACTAGCGGTGTAAATTGTCATCACAATTACCTTGGGTCAGTCGTGGGTTATTATAATGTACCTCTAGCAGCACAAATCTAGACCAATCATCTCCGCCAACTGGTGTTCCAGCTTCCTCCGGTAATGTTACAGACTACAATATATTTCTAAATTCACTGGTCGGCTGAAGAAATGTTGCTTTACTAATAGCCGGGTGTAAGGAATTTTGCAATCGAAAAGTACAAAACAAATACCAGAAAATTTTGATTAGAAAAAGAATTAAAGAAACTATTTGACAAAAAGATAGCAAAAATTATATGATGTGTAAAGAATCTTTTTGTAAATTGCATAAGAAAAGGATGAACAGAACTGAATGTGAGAAAATAAGACAAGCAAATTCCTTTGATTTGACATATTTATTTACATATCAGCATTCCGGTTCTTGTCTATCCAAATACTTATTTTCTAATTAATTTCTTGTATACAATATCGAGTAAAAACATAGTAAATTATTCTTCCAATATTCCAAGCAAGTCAAAATTATGTGACATTGATTGTAATAAGGTTGATAGAAATTGAAAATGAGGTGGACAAATAGGATTAAGGGTGAAAAGGAGATAAGAAAGAAATGAGATAAAAGAGGTGGAAGGTGGTAGAAGGAATCGAAAGTAAAAAAACAAAGTAGCATTTAAAAAAATTATTAAACTGAATAGGATAACAAGTTTGATACAAATGGAACATTTTACTTACATCTTATTGTGTAAGATTATTCTATCGCTATGTCCATTTGAATTATTTCAGTTCAATTTAAGTTAGTTCAATTAATCTTTATCACCATATGCATGGAACATATAGATCTGAGAGCACGGTATTCGTGGTGATCTTGTTGCTCAGTCTTTCGTTTTCTTTATTCTGTTTTGTGTACTGTTTGTCTTTTCTTCGTTTTTTGCCATGGCATTGTCAGTTTGTTTTCGATTTGAGAGTCTGAGTGTCCCTTTGGTATCTTTCGACTCTCTTTTATATAACAAACAGTTTGTGAAAGATAGACTATAAAATTAATGTCTTTAAGGGAATAAAAGATTAATTAATTCGTCTAGCACACAATCCCTGACTTAATAATTTACTAGTAATACATAGATTAGGCTCATTGAAATCCAAGACACGGGCATAACGAACGAGTTGAATATATAAACATCATAAGACGGTGTCAAGGGAACTTCACCGTCCAAAAAAGAAAAATGATCCCTTTTGTCGTAAATTTTTGTGTAGAGTTTCTGGTGTAACACAGAAATGTCTAAATCTAGGAAAGGACACTTATTGCTGTAAATATTTGATTTATTTAAAGTAAGTTCCTTTTGGGTAAATTTCAGCAGTATATTTAGAGAATTCTTGATTTTTTAACGAAAAAAATATCATCAAGATAATGGTAAATGTTGTTGAATTTATCAATAAAATGGAATTTAGACGGTTCTTTACTGAGTTTGGCCATAAACTGTGATTCATAACAGTATAAGAACAAGTCTGTTATTAAAGGGGTACAATTGGTGCCCATAGGAATGTCGATAAACTTTATTGCCGAAACGTACATAAATGTTGTCTAGAAGAAAATTTACTTACTGATGCGCCCATTGCCCATGCGCCAATGACTTTACGACATACTGACAGCCCTGGTGGTTTTCCTTCTGCCAAGCCAGGACCATTATATGATGGGACAACTTGGTGTGGTCTCGCTTCACAATGAAATAGTTCCATGTGGTGAACAAGATTTTCATGCCCTTTCTCAATGATCCCTTCATACTAGGAGAAAATACTGATTTATTACATTTTTTTGTAATTTCACAACTTGATGATGATTTCAAGATGATAAAAACATGGATATGAATTTGCAACGTACTTCTTACATAAAACATATGGAATGAATAGTTGTTTATTAAAGTTTGCGTGATCCAAAGATTTTCATGCCCTTTCTCAATGATCCCTGCATACTAGGAGAAAATATTGATTTATTACATTTTTTTGTAATTTCACAACTTGATAATGATTTCAAGTTGATAAAAACATGGATATGAATTTGCAACTTACTTATTACATAAAACATATGGAATGAATAGTTGTTTATTAAAGTTTGCGTGATCCATTTCTTGTTTATATCTTCTCTTACAGTATAAAGATTATTTATAAAAATTATCATATTTTAAATACAAGATATAATTGGAGATGCTGAGAAGGACAATTTTGTTTCTTTCGTTTCATTTTAAAATACTTCATATGATTTCCTTATTCTAATGTTACCTTAATGATATGATGTTTCCGTTTGAAATCTGGTAACTTAGTTAGGTACCACCAGTATGTTGTATCAGTTGACGGTACTGTTATCTATACAAAAAATACAGACAGCAACTTGAACACGTTCACACATCTATGATAGCTACCAGGTGACATTAAATACCGCGATTTTTAACATTTTAGTGTGTCAATTTTCTTGCTTGCTAACCTTTGACATGACTAGATTGATTTCTGTTTCATGAAAATTTTAATCAACCCCAAAAATGGCCATTAAGAAAGTATTTCCACAGATGAAAAAGCCAATATATTCTAAACTGATGAAAATTATGTCGATTTCACGTGCATTCTATAAAGTTTTACATATTTTAAGAATTTGTATTTTATAATATTCAAGGAAATAAAACAGTTTCAATTATCAGATACCAACATATCAAAGTTTTATGTAAAATTGTAAAAGAAAATTGTGATATCGCCTATAAACAGTTCATTGACCTTAATTTTTGCAGACCATTGAGTCGCTAAGTTATCAGAAATATAAGAATGCACAGCATTTATTGTTATTGATGAGCTACATACCTCTTGGTTCGTGACGTCAATGACTTTTACGTCTTTTGGTATGTTCACCTCTGGAATGTCTGGTTTCAAAATTTGAACTCTTTGTAAGCCTTTCTTATAATCCAAAGTGTTGATATGTTTAGGATATCCGTAGCCAGTGAAAAATATTATGTGTGTTGTTCCATTCTGTTTAAACATATAAATGATAAAAACCGATAAAGAATTCTATTTCTTTGCGTGATCATGGTGATGAAACAATGTGACTGAGAAATAAAAGTATATGTACAATATAGAATTGCTGAACCGGAACATAGATCACTAAAATAAAGTGTATTATGAGCTTTTCTATTTGTTCCTGTAATCAAGACAGATTACAGAGTTAGTGTTGTACAACAGTAGAAAAAAAAATCAAATTCCCGTTTCTCCTATAAAATGGTGGACTCATAATGACGGTACAAGATGGCCAATTACACATGATCGAAAAAGGTCAAAAGGTCTCAGAGGAGTTGCATTCACAAGGTGTCATATTGGTACGATAATAAAAATGATCAAATCAAAATGACAGTACAATCTGGTCAACTACAAATGATGGCAAACACTTCTACCAAGTATGAGAGCTTTCTGTGAAATGGTCTCAGAGCAGTTACGTTTACAAGGTATCTTCGTGGTAGGACAGTACAAAAAGTCAAAGTCCTATTTCTTCCATAAAAATTGTCAGACCTAAATAATATGCTAAGTATGAGAGCTTTCTGATAAACGGAGTCAGAGGAGTTGCGTTCACAAAGTATTAATGTGGTACAAGTCCAAAATATGGTTAAAGTCCCATAACTTCTATAAAAATCTTCAAATCAGATTGACATTGTAATATGGTCAATTACATATGGTGACAAACAAGCCTGCCAAGTATGAAAGCTTTCTTTCAAATGATGTCAGAGGAGTTGCGTTCACAAGATGTAATTTTGCAATACTCATAAAAAAAATGGTCTTAGTCCCATAACTACTGTAAATATGGTCAAATCAAAATGACAGTCAAGAGAATATGATGACAAACATATCATCACAGAAATTAGAAATACATAAAATTCTGCAATTCTACAATAAGGAGATGGATTGTATTGTTTTTGGGATTGTAGTTTTTTTCCTTTTTTATCTATATTTTTTTAGGGAAAACATCCTACCTAGTTTGCAAGCTTTCTGTCAAACGGTCTTTTGGTATTGATGTGTTTCGGACGGACGGACGGACGGACGGAGAGTCGGAGACCATTACCACATATCCCCCAAGGCTCGAGCAAGGGGGACAAACAAGTTATAGAATAGATATGGATAAGAAGATATCTGCAATAGAAGTTTCCATCCCTTAGCTACATGTGCTTATTAAATGTTCTATTTAGTCGTATATACATTTTTTTCGAGTAGGCTAGTCTGTATAAGTCTTTCCACTAGTCTTTTGTTCAGAGACAACTAGATCAGACATTATATATGCAGTCTAGTTGTTTGAATTTATCATTGTTTCAAATGTTTATAATTACATTTGATGTATGTTTCATTATAATACGTTATTCTGATTGGCTAACTGCAATCTCGCGTTATTCCTTAATCAACTTCATTTCAAAATGAATTGTAACATTCATGCTGACACCTGCTTCTACAATAAAGTGCACAGGTAAATAAAAGAAAACACTTGATAGTAATCGTATTTTCATGATCATAGCGAAAAAATGTAATTATAAGTATTGAATGCTTCTTTTAGTAACTTCATATGGTTATAAAAGCGTTGACCGTGCGTACATTTTTAGAATGAAGCGCTTCCGCTCTTCATACAAAATGTACTTCGGTCAACGCTTTTACACCCCAATGAAGTTACAAAAAGAAGCATTCAATTCTTAATACAATATGAGTTTTAGATCGGATGTACGTGAGATAACCCGCGGTTTATTTTAACTCTTACACTACCCAATAAACGTACGTCTAGTTTGTAATCGTCCACATCACATGTATCAAACTTTCTAATGAACTCTAGCTTAAACCAGTTATGCTTCAACTTTTCCGTACGAGTCCGGAAGTAGTTTTGGTTTGGGTCAATGTGTATATATCCTCTTCTATCTGTATGGACGTCCTAAATTGAAAAGGCATTAATATAACAACATATTTTTACTAAAAACAAACACAACATTGATTGACGTCAAGTTAGTTTTAAAACCAATTTGACCTTTTAAACACACTACATACATGTTTGTATACTTGAAACAGACATACAGTACAAGCGAATAATTACAGGATGATAAAAGTTTGATACGATTCCGTTATTTTGATCGATTGGCCGAGACATTCCAAAAGTTACATATTTCACTTCCGTATAAAATGCAACATCTATATTGCACGTGTTCGTCATGACAACTTAAAAACAACAATCAAAAAGCTTAAATGTAACTCTTTATTTAATGGTTGAATGCATCTTTCAGTAGTTTAATAAGGTTGAAAACACGTTGATCGTGTGCACATTTTATACATATAACGATTCTGTGCTTCTTACAAAATCTACTTCGGTCACCTCTTTTACACCCCAATAAAATTACAAAAATTTAACAATTTATTCCTAAATCAAAACTTACTTAATAAGTACGCATGTAAACCGTTTCAAGATCAAAAGTACCGGACTTATATTATTTTTTATTGGTCTTACATTTTATCAACCGTTTATAAATTAAATTATTGGACTATCTAAAAGAGAATACTTACTTTGAACATTGTATTACCCAAATAGTCCTTCCAAAACAAAACCAAATCAGCATTCTCAAATTCTCCATAATTAGAAAACCCGAACGCCAACCATTCATTTGGTCCCAGTTTTCCTTGTATCCGAAATTTCACCAGTTCATCGGCATAATTTACATTCCATTGCAAGTTCAGTGGTTTGTCCATGCTTAGAATTGTTTCATATTTGAAATGTTCACAAAAAGAAACTGTACAAATTGAAAACACGGAACACGCATATGAAATAAATTTCATTTTGCTGCCCTTTGAATCAACTAGTAAACACGATGTCAATAACGAACGTTTGTTTGTTTATTTATATGTTCTTTAGTGTTTCCTTATAAAGAAATGTTTGTAGTAGGAAGGCACTAATAATTTTATCTCGATAAAAAATTGATTTAACGAAATTTACCGTAATATATATAGGTCATAAATGAAATATCAATGCACGCTTGTTTTAGACGCCAGGATTATTTAAATGATCGCCCTTACTTAAAATAAATCTCTAATTATACCCTTAATTGCTATTCTTTAGTGTAAATTTTAAGTCATTAATTAGAAAAATATTCTTATCTTGTTATTCTTGTCTAATTTCATTTCATGGAAAGAAATGAAATGAAATGAAATGAAATGAAGATGTACGTTTCTCGTTGTTCATTACCCCTTCCCAGACAATGGATGCGAGGCTTGACAGGTGCTGCCCAAATTGATTCCGGATATTGAACGAGTGTTGACAAAAAGAATTTCTCTATTGAGTTATTCAGTTAAAGATAGTTCTGAATTAATTTGTAGTTATTGATGCAACGTTTTGTTGTCGAAAATCTAATCAAGTGTTTACAAAAAATGAGTTTCGTGACAAGTTTTCTTTCAATTACCGCTTAAGTAATTGATGACATTTGACTTCTTGGATATTGCTGTATTTGTTGATTTTCGTGTATTACGCATTCAACACATGCTTTCTGGCATGTTAAACATATTAGGATTGGTCTGGATTTATATTTGATAGACAGATATAGGAAATAACATTTTGTAAATCAAGTTGAGATCTTTTCAGTATTGTATTGCACCAAAGGAGAAAATTGGAAGGAACAACTTTTTCAGATTACGTACTGCTGCAATGACTAAATAGAGAACCAAATTGTTGTGCTAAAGACCAGAAATTTATAGTGGTTAAAAAACCAAAGGCTTTGGATCGACGAAATAAAATGCCACCACGTAAACAAAACGAGGCCGGTGGTTAACTGAATTGTTTCAATTTTGTTATCTCTTATACATTACTTTACGGTATGGAGTTTACTCATTGGAAAACTGAATCATTGGCAAGCACACCACATCTCCTATTTTATATAGAATAAAGCAAAAGCAAACAAACAAATCCCAAATTATGGAATGAACTAAACTGTATACAATATATTCTTCGTAAAATATGAGACACCGGCTTTGTTTGCTTCGCAACTATACTTCTAATTTGAAGTGTGAATGTTAGGACCAGCACAGTTTACAGGGCTTTACAGAATTAGCAAATTGGTAAACAATTCCACAAGTTATCATATTACGGATAAGCAGCTTGTATTTTTTCTTTTGATTGTGCAGTAACTTATCTTCGTTCTTTCTAATAATTTTCACAAACAGTATTATAGTAATGTAAATCTTGTTTTTCCTATAGAAACTAGCAGAATTTGACACATTTGAAAGAAAATAACTTTGATTTATATCAAAATCAAAATTCAAAGTCTATACAGATTACGTCGTAGACTTGATTTGTCTCTCGACTTTCGCTGCTTGTTATCTATTGTAAGATGACTGTAGTATACTACGGATATCAATGGGCACTAAATGGGTTTATGGAAAAATCCTTCATCAGTTTCAATTAAGACAAAAACTGATGTGAATTGACTCCCGCTCAGGCTCGACTCCGATTTTAATTAATATGGATTGCTAGTTTTCATGCCGACAACAACAAACACTGGTCGCCATGATAAAGCCAAGGCGGCTAAAGGATGTGTTATTTCATATCGGTTAAGAATTAGCTTCTCTTATTGGATAACAAGGCGCCATGTGACATTCTTTATTCTTTAGTAAAAAATTCCATCGGTCTTTAACAGTAAAAAACGGACCAGAAAACCGGTCGTTAACAGACTTTACTTGTTAATGACCAGTGGGGCGTGGTTTCTCTGTTTAGAGTGATGTCCCTTTAATAAAACGCAATCGCGATTCAGACGTTTGGAACATGGCTGAACTGGAAGGCACGTCTGCTACAGACAACTCAAATGGTCGTTTTTCCGTACTTTCCGATGCTGATATAGACAAGCTACTCAGCAACAAGAATTATAAAATTATAGAAAACTTTATTTTGTATTCATATTCTGAAAAATTGCACTTAAATGAATGGCAGTGACTTATAGTTATCACTATGACTGATCTTTACTCTTTCCTATAGAAATCGTACAATAACTCGAGTTTGCTTTGAAGAATTTGAATTTATGAGAATTTTAAAAACATGGTTCCTCAATTAAATAAACATAATAGTTATTGAAGAACTGGTCATTATCGTGATACATGGACTGCCCGTAGGACAGTGGTATTGACTACGACAGCGATAATGACCTCGCCTACGGCTCAGTCATTATCGCTGTCCTGTGGGCAGTCCAAATATCACGATAATGACCAGTTCTTCAATAACTATTATATAAATAAACACCACCCAAAATAATCCAGACAAAAACTTTGGACTCCCAAAAACGTCACTAATACAACATAAATATTTAGGGCATACGAGTTTAAGCAAAGTATTAGAAGATTATTCCATCATAATAACATTAGGATACCGGTATTTGCATTCAGATTAATGTGTTCCTTTTGCACTCGACCCTCGGACAGAGGTTAAGAACATAAAAATTAGAGTGACATTCAATAATTATTAATCTACACTTGAAAGGTTGCACCGATTTTCAGAATAATATCTTTCAGAGTAACACAATAATAATATAATACAACTGGAAATGGGAAAACATAAAAAATAAGGAAGACAAGATTGAAAATCATCTGATTCCTTTCTTTGCTCTGAAATCACAATGAAGACTGTCTCCCTCGTCAAAGAACCATCCTCCCATTTTCTGGCATTCTACCCAGAATTCACTTGTTCTGAGCATATCCTTTTTCAGATCAACTGCATCTCCTGCATAATGTGGTGAATTACAATCATGGCAGCCACCAGCAAAATCATTTACCTAAAATGTAGATATTATCTGTAAAGGCAAAATTTAATCCAAATATGGCATTCTATTTACATCAATTCGTTGATAAGAAGTGGGGGCTTTATACACACAATTCCTTTAAACACTTAATTTCTAAATATTCATTGTGTCGACCCTTGCCAGAATTTTGCGAGTGCTTGAATTTGACCCAAACACCATATTAATACCATATTGAGTTTATTGTATTATTCTTTTAGAAAGTATTTCTAGATTGCTACAAATAGTGCACAATGAAAAAAAAAAATCATGTAAAATAGCAAGAATATTTCAATGGTGCAATCAAAAACAACAAAAAAAAAAAGATGAAAAGGAAAATATAAGTCCACAAAATAAAAGAAGCAACTTATATTTCGACTGTATGATTCATCATACTTCAGTCACTAATAGATTGATTGTGCAAATCAAGACTAAATGATTGGCAAATACCAACTGTAAAATGGTGATCGTTTTAATATAAGTTTTCTGCGAAAAGAGGCGAACAAATGTGAGCATGGACTTTTTTAATAACCATTGTATAGTATTTATTAAGTCTTTTTGTACAATCAATGTTTCTTCAGTGATGCACGAGGATACAAACGTTGAAGAGGTGTTTTTTTGTGTGTTAGATTTATTATCCTTAATCTGTTTACTTCCAACAATTATCATAATATCTCAAGATTTTGACACTTGTTTATAATTTTTATAGTTTTTTACATCTATATATGTTTTTTAATTCCAAGTGTGTCGTTGGGTTGGTGTCTCTTTGACGTATATTCCACACAAATGATAAATTCCTACACAAGGCTATTAATATAACTAGAGTTTTAAAACTTCCCAGGAAATGAATAAACCATGAGTAAATTCTTTTTTAGAGTTTTCAATGAAATAGATGCTGCGGAAATTTGCAATCTGATTGAAATACACGCTTTACTTACAAGTATCTGACAACACTTCGTTGAAAGCGAAGCAATCTGATTGAAATACATGCTCTACTTACAAGTATCTGACAACACTTCGTTGTAAGCGAAGCAATCTGATTGAAATACACGCTTTACTTACAGGTATCTGACAACACTTCGTTGTAAGCGAAGCAATCTGATTGAAATACACGCTTTACTTACAGGTATCTGACAACACTTCGTTGTAAGCGAAGCAATCTGATTGAAATACACGCTTTACTTACAGGTATCTGACAACACTTTGTTGTAAGCGAAGCAATCTGATTGAAATACACGCTTTACTTACAGGTATCTGACAACACTTCGTTGTAAGCGAAGCAATCTGATTGAAATACACGCTTTACTTTTTCAAGTATCTGACAACACTTCGTTGTAAGCGAAGCAATCTGATTGAAATACACGCTTAACTTACAGGTATCTGACAACACTTCGTTGTTATCGAAGCAATCTGATTAAAATACACGCTTTACTTACAAGTATCTGACAACACTTCGTTGTAAGCGAAGCAATCTGATTGAAATACACGATTTACTTACAAGTATCTGACAACACTTCGTTGTAAGCGAAGCAAACTGATTGAAATACACGCTCTACTTACAAGTATCTGACAACACTTCGTTGTAAGCGAAGCAATCTGATTGAAATACACGCTCTACTTACAAGTATCTGACAACACTTCGTTGAAAGCGAAGCAATCTGATTGAAATACACGCTCTACTTACAAGTATCTGACAACACTTCGTTGAAAGCGAAGCAATCTGATTGAAATACACGCTTTACTTACAAGTATTTGACAACACTTCGTTGTAAGCGAAGCAATCTGATTGAAATACACGCTCTACTTACAAGTATCTGACAACACTTCGTTGTAAGCGAAGCAATCTGATTGAAATACACGCTCTACTTACAGGTATCTGACAACGCTTCGTTGTAAGCGAAGCAATCTGATTGAAATACACGCTCTACTTACAAGTATCTGACAACACTCCGTTGTAAGCGAAGCAATCTGATTGAAATACAGGCTTTACTTACAAGTATTTGACAACACTTCGTTGTAAGCGAAGCAATCTGAATGAAATACACGCTCTACTTACAAGTATCTGACAACACTTCGTTGTAAGCGAAGTAATCTGATTGAAATACACGCTCTACATACAGGTATCTGACAACACTTCGTTGTAAGCGAAACAATCTGATTGAAATACTCGCTTTACTTACAAGTATCTGACAACACTTCGTTGTAAGCGAAGCAATCTGATTGCAATACACGCTTTACTTACAGGTATCTGACAACACTTCGTTGTAAACGAAGCAATCTGATTGAAATGCACTCTTTACTTACAAGTATCTGACAACACTTCGTTGTAAGCGAAGCAAGGACACAGAATCTGTATTATTATCAGATTGCGGAAATTTGAAACTTACCGTCACTGGTCCATTGGCTGCTAATTTTTCTATATACCTCATAACAGTTAAACTTGGACAGCCATAACCACCAGGTGCGGGCATCGTCGGACACTTGTCACATTTGTAGCTACAATCAAACAATGGCAACACTGATGAAAAAAAAATCATCCTGCACACCTCTCCCTCTCCCCGAAAATCAAATGGCGGCCCCCTTACATTCATAAAGAATTAAATTATTTATTTAACATAACACTCAAAAGCAAAAAGCATAATATCGATTTTCAGAGGGTACTATTCTGGTACTCAAGTTGTTCGTTTAATTTTATGTTACATGTGCGAACTACATTGTTAAATTCTTGAAGAAGAAAAAATCTAAAGGGAATATTAACTTGTTCAGTGAAAGACCACGAATACTTAAAAAAAATGAGAGTTAACGGTGTACCTAGATCTTGGTGGAAGTTTGGTAAAATAGTTTGATGGCGCGACACACCACGTGGTCATTGACTTCATTGCTGTAGCTTTATCTGTATGGTTGTCTGTGTGCTGTTGTGCTAATGTTATTCTTGGATCTACGACAAATTGGCATGCCATCGCATAAGACAAAGGATTGAAACAGTTTGCCAGTGCTTTGGCTGAAATAAAGATATATCAAATATAACTCAACGTCAATGACAGCCAGGTTATCTGTGAAAGGTTCGCAAAAGTATCGAGAATTATTATCTCTGATTATTATAGAATCAATAGAAACATTAACTGCAGGTAATATAAGTTTAGCCATTTGATATAAAAAGATGTGGTATCATGATTGTCATTGGACAACTCTCCATCAGAGACCAAATGACGTAGAAGTTTAAATAACTACTATAGGTCACCGTACAGCCTTTTGACAACAATGAGCAAAACCCATACCCGCTTTTAACCTTAAACTTTTTTAATAAAAAGGAAAACACGAAGAGGGCAATCAAAAACTTTAAGCAGAAGACAACCCGATGACCATGATCATTATTTCTGATAAAAAAAAACAAATGTTAATGTTGATAAAATAAATCTGGAAAATATGTATTCAAAATGTCTAATATTCTTTCAATACATCAATTTTTACAGACTGTTCCTGATAGTCATTAGCATGACACATTTCCCGAAATCTATCATTTTCAACAACTAAGATTTCGGGTTCACCGTTGTTTTGCTTGTCAAGAGAACTTTTGATATAACTATATATATATATATATCTGCTGATATAAAGACTTAAAGTTCAAGTTTTAAAAAATTGTCTATGAAAATATTTAATTATTTTTTTTTACAATTATTAGTTTATTAAGACGTATTCAGGCGCGGATCCAGTTATTTTGAAAAGGGGGTTCCAACCCCCCAGAACACCATGAACCGTTCGCATAATTAAAAAACAAAACAAAAAACAAAAATATATTCATAAAAAGGGAGGGTTTGTACCTTCGGAACACCACCTGGATACGCCAATGGCCTTCATCAATGCCCATGTGGGAACTGCCTTCTCGAATTATTTGCATTTTAGAAATTATCTCTCCGAATTTGTCTTAATGAATCCATTTCAGAAATGTTAGTTAATGCAGAATATGAGTTGCTATTTTTTCTTAGATTTCTTTGGGTGTATATACCAAGTACCGTGTGTTCCTGTTACAAATATACAGCCAGTATGTAGTAAAATATTCTTAGTATGGTAAGCAAGAATTTTGTTCACATAGCATCATTATTATACCTTGATTACACTCATTTACCCTGCTGGTCCTCACATTCGAAGTGTTTAGCACAAAATCATAATATTGTTTTATTATCATACATATTGTGTCTTTATAAGTGAATTAAATATTAACAGAACGTTGATTAATAGTGTTATAATTGATGAGAAGACGAAAACACTGAAATGCCTCATTTGGAAAGAAAATTATGTTTTGTCACTAGAATTTCTACTGCAAAATATTTTATTTATTTGTTTTTCTTTACCTTTTAAATAAAATGCCTTGAAATGCTTTGATTCTAGGCCAAAGAAAAGTTAAAACAATTCAAAATGTTCCAGCTTAACATGTTTAATGAAAATATTTCGTAACCAAAAAAATAAGGCCGAAAACGTTATTTACCATTTTCATTTTGAAATATGTTGAACTGTATCAAATTCTTCAAGAAAATTGCCATGTATTTACAATATTTTAAAATTTTCATTCAAACAACGTCATTTTATAGATATTCGAAATGGAAACCTTGTACACAATACTAGTACACATTAAAACAGTATATTTGTATGTAGGTCACAATTTGTAAACAGATCTACATATATTTTGGTTACATTTTTTGTTGATTCAGGAAAAACACAGTTATCAAAAATAAAAAAAAACAACTTTGTTATTAATAAGGTTTCACAAGTTAGTAAAAGGACTTTCTTTATCTGTGTCATAGTTTTTCCTTTTCTTTTTTTTTTGTAAATAATTATAATGATTAATGTCAACCAAGTCAACCAAAGTTGCTGCGATTTACGCAAATTAATCCGTTTTGATCAAGGACGCGCGTAACAGTAGTATAATCATCATTGATCTTTTATTCTAATAAATTCAAGGGACATTAAATTTGAGAATAATTCGTTGCATGTTATGCAGAACTCATGATGTCAGACATGGTTAGTTTTCACACCAAACAAAACAATTATAAAGCTTCTATCATAAGCGGGTTCGGGGAGAGGGCATGAGGCCCGGGCTCCCTTATGTAGCTCCATATATGTTTAATGTATAGACTATTTACAAGTACAATTGATAAAGTTGCCTTTTTGTGCACCCACACCCCTTTCGAAAAACCTGGATCCTCATCGGTCTATCATTCTAATCATCACGAAGTATGTTCGTTTCTCTCCCCAGACGTAAACTGTGTGACTTGAACCACGAAATGGCTTTGCACGCACAGTGTCCGGACTCTCAGAAGGAGGTAAAACATTTAAGTAATGACGTATCAGAGCATAATTAATCCAAATATTCACATATACACACTCAAACCTAAACATTCCTCAGAACGATTAAAAACTGATCCTATAAAACCAATAATTTGAGTGTCGCCCCTGTGACAAACCAGAAACAGTGGTTAAGGTTCTATTATGGTTCTATTCTCATATTTAAGACAAACTTTTGTAATTTATAAACTGAATTTTTTTTTCGCTTATATGAAATATGAATAAAAGGAATGTGTCATCGTTAAGGCTTAGGTGTGTTTGAATAATAAAATGATTAGGTGTGTTTGAATAATACGATGATTAATTTAGGCGTGTTTGAATAATGAAACGATTTGATTAAAACGTTTTTGAATAATACAATACAATAAAAGTTCTAGACTTCTTGTGAACTAGATATCTATCTGCTGGTGTGTCATAATGTATTTTTTATATATTTATAAGTGTGCCCAAATCTGAGCAAATTTATTATTGAATTTGTGAAGTTGATTTGATTACACAATATAAACAGAATAGTTTTGGTTGCTCTACAATAAAACATATAGTAAAAAATTCGTCAGCATAAGGCAATATTGTTGTTAACTTTTTGCTGAAAGATATAAGATCTACTTTAGGTTTTAAGTATTGTTACTTAAAATTCAATTTGGAAAAATAAACTAGAAATAATACCACAGAAGAAGTACTCCAGTAAAACATAGGCGTAAAACCAAAGATATATAATGTAAGTCAAGTCTCCTCAATATATCAATATAACGAAATTCATTGCATATCATTGTAAAAAAGAGCCTTAATCATCAGTTTATTTACAAACAGGGGGGCTCGGTGGCCGAGTGGTCTAAGTAGTTACTACTGTAATCACTAGCCAGTCAACACTGAGGTTGTGAGTTCGAACCCCGCTCGTGTGGGTGCACTCGACTCCAATCTTAATTGACTAGGATTGTCAGTTTTCCTATCGAAGGTCGGTGGTTTTCCATCTTCGCTAGCCAAGGGTAACGATCCACTTCCCTCCTCTCCACCCTTGGCAGATTAAGGCAACATTTGTAATAACAATGTTGCGCCATCTATCGGTAGATTAAAGTCACGCCCATTCCGAATACATTATTCTAGACCAATGGTAGAACTTGAACTCCTCAATTTAGAGGTAAAAACACGATAGCGTCTAGATTCTACACACTTGGTAAAGCAGGAAACGAAAATATACGTTGACATTCATGCATTTGTGCAAGAAACATACACATGAACCTCTATTAGTTGACGAAAAACATTCAAATTGTCACTAAATATAGTTGTATGTTTAGGAATGTAAAGACTTGTTGCACAATAAGCACGTGGCAATTGTTTACATACACTTTCTAGATTTACACGTGATCATGTTATAGGCGCTTTTTGATTGGATGCAGCGAGTTTCGACTGCAACCAATGAAAATCATTACCTTGTGTCTCCGAAATTCTATCTCAATCTGCCAAGGGTGGAGAGGAGGGAAATGGGTCGTAACCCTTGGCTAGCGAAGATGATGGTTTTCTCCGGGCACTCCGGCTTCCTCCACCAATAAAAACTGGCCGCCACGAAATAGCCCAAAAGCGGTGCTTAAAAGTGGCGTTAAAACACCAAAAATCAATCAAATCAATTTACAAACAGTCTGGCATTTTAGTATTTAGACATCAATTACTTTGTAAAACCTTTATGGAATTTTATGACACTTAGAAAGCAGCTTCTCATCATGATTAAGAGACTCTATCTAGAATATTTTTTGAAAATACAAATTTTTAATTTTGACCGGTTTTTTTTTCGATAAAAAAATCTGGTTACATGTATTGATTTAGGGTTGTACGATGGGTGTGTGAGGCTCCAACTGTTTCCATGCGTTAACTCATGAAAACCGTTCTACCAATAATTTTTAAATTCAAATATGTTGTTACTGATAACAAATTAGGGGACAGGTTTAACACATTTGCCGTTTAGGAATTATGGTTGTTGATTGTTTTTTTTAAATAAACCTTTTATGTCGTTTCCTTTCAGAAACTCGTGAACGTATCGACCAATGATTTCATAATTTAATAATTGTTACTGAAGACAAAATCAAGATTGAAATAGACGATTTTCATCATTCCTGTTCAGGAGTTATGGTCCTTGATCGGAAAATGGATTTCGTTTCGTGAAATATCTTGGAATCTGTGTTAAAAAACTAAAAAAATACTTTTTAAAACTTAATGTGCTGTATCTAATGACAAGATTGAGGTCAAGTTCGATACTGTTGATTTTCACTTTTGCATTTTACTCTTTCCATTCAAGAGTTGTGGTACTTGATTAATTAAAAATTGAATTTTGATAAGTTTTGAACCTTTCAACCAATGCTTTAAAATGTTTGTATGCTTTTGCTAATTACAAGATGGAGGTCAAGTTTGATATTCATATTTCACATTTTGCCGTTCAAGAGTTTTTGCCCTTGATTGTCCTTTCTTTCTTATTTGTTTTTCGTGTATTGTTGTGTTCATGAAACCCTAGTAAATAATTCTTCTAATACGCGAAATCAGCGACTCTTCAGCAAACATCTCGTTATCTTGAAAGTGAAATATTCACAATGTCTGTACATGATTATATGTTTTGTGATAAGATAAATCAAATGAAAACAATATCTTCTTACAACAACCGTTAAACAACAGACAGGTGTCCGCACAAAAATCAAACAAAAACAAACAAAGTAAAACAAATGAAACAATCATCAATCTATGAGTTGTTCGTTGCAATTTTTCTTTGTTGTGTGTGTGTGTGTGAGAGGAGATGTGGTATGATTGCCAATGAGAAAGCTATCTAGAAGAATCATATTTAAGCAACTGTAGGTCACCGTACGGTCTTCAACAATGAGCAAAACCCATACTATATAGTCCGCTATAAAAGGCCCCCTACATGACAAAATGGGAGACAATCTGAATCTGACATTCAATGATGGTTATGTATATATACTTTTCTTTATTCATAGATTCCTGTAGTTGTGAAACTTAATGTAGGTGGTAGGCATTTTGAAACAAGGCTTGAAACATTGAGGAAATATCCGGAATCAATGCTAGGAGCTATGTTTAGCGGCCGGTATGAATTAGATGTGACCGATGATGGACAGTATTTCATTGACAGAAACGGTGACTACTTTGAACATATTTTAGAATTTCTCCGAGACAGCACTTACCTACCACCTAAGGATTTTCTTTCTGCAGTTTTCCGAGAGGCTGACTATTTTGCGCTTGTTGAACTCCGCGATAAGATAATGAAGTTGCCACCAATATTTCCATTTTGCGGTGACAGACCTGACCCAGTTCCAAATTACATGGAAATTAAGGAAAAGATGATAAAAGAAGCACGTGATTTCGTGAAAGCTACAGCACATGGACAAACAATAGTATATTTACTTTCACTGCAGGAAGAAGAAGAGCCGGCACCTGATTACGTGTATTGCAGTGAAAAACACCATGTATTAAAAATCCCTGCGCCTATAGATGATCTGGACGGTTTATTTCCACGCGACTTGAATGAAATTGAGGGTATTCAAGATGATAAAGCAATTGAGTTTATCGAAGATGCTCCACCTGTACTTCTTCTAAAGGCCGACAACAAAGACCAAGCACTGTCTGTTTCCAATTGCTTATTTTATGATTTGAAGAAACATGGATTTGACATCAAAATGGAAAATGAAATCTGTACGTCTAAAGGTGTTTTCTCTGAATTTGGATTGAAAACAAAAGCCTTTGGAGAAATGGGATGTAAACCATGTTATCAGCATAGCAAATTCATATTTCTCTGGTAAAGAGGTTATTGCGTGATGCTATTTTGATTGGCAAATAGCACGCGATTTTACAAAAACCAAGTTGAAATGTTAGGTAACTGTTACAGCGGAAATACAATCGGTATTTGATAGATTACTGTTTGTCAGCATACTTTGAATACAAACATTTTCAGAACTAGGATTGTTTTTAATAAATGAATATTCTCTGACTTTTACTGGTATGTCTAGTATCGTAATGGTAAGACCTGGCAATCACTTATAGTAAAAGACTGGCTATCAGTGATGGATATCCTTTGATCACAATGGTTTTTTTAAATTTCATGTTTCGCACGATTAATATGATTTCGTAGCATACAATAGTTCATTTTTTTCAGTTTATATACAGTTTTGTCGAATTATGCCCCTCCCCTTTCAAAAATCCTTGATCCGCCCCTGGCTATAGAGTTTCTGTGTTTATTATTACTGGAAAATGGAGCAAAGACTCAAATAGCCGGGTGTGCAGAATGTTTCTTTAACAACAGACAACAACTTTTTGTTAACATTTAAAAAATATATGGAAATATAAAAGGGGGAAATATTAAATGGAAAAATAGGGGGAAAACTTTTAACAACTCCATATGCATATAATTTTCATCCTTTTTCCGTCACTAAATACAAATACATGTCATTCTTAAGTGGAAGAAAAGGTTCGTTACTGATTATTAATTTTAGGTCATTATTGGTTATATAGCTTTTTATTTTTTTCAACTTAATACATCTTTTGCTTTCAAATATTTGGCATTGAGCGTTCCTGGTGAAGGCAAATCCACAATAGCGCTTCGGACTCATGAAATTTATAACGTGTTGTTTTCATTTTTTCAAGGGATTTCTTTTTGGCCCTTGTTTCATTATGATGTCTTTTGAAGATTTTTGTCGTGTTATAAAAAGTCAATCACATAGAATAGATCTTAATAATATAAAAAAAATATTTAGCGATAGAAGAATATAAATATTTCTACCTGCTGCCTTTGCCATCTGAGCTGCTGATTCTACTGCAGCCTTGGCTGCATCTTTAATAACTCCTGCTACACCGCCACTTTTGCCGCCGTTTTCTGATACCCAACCATGAGAGTTTGCTCCAGGATTTCCGTTGCTACCAGCCCAACCTTTCAAGCTGCCATCGCCTGTACTTTGCCATCCCATATTTTTGGCTGAAGAAAAACATGATACACATTAAATTATATTTCTAGAATCCTTTGTGTTGATTTTGTAGTAAGTACAAAATGTGGGAGATGATTTTAAGAGTATAAAAACTATCTGTTGAAGAAAGACAGATAATACATGTACCATAGCCAAAACAGTCCATAAAACTAAAGATTGAACACCATTAAATGGACTGGAAGTCGGGACATGAGCACAGGTGCTTCGGAAGGGTCGTCTTGATGACTTGTATCAGGGATTGACGAATGTCTTTTGTCTAACCCTAAGACACCAAAAATGTTTAAACCATTGCTTGTCAACTTTGAAAAGAAAACACGGTTTAGCAGAAAAAGGATAGACTGTTACCAGTAAAACTAACAGACAGTCATATCTAAAATAGCACAAAATACACCACTAAAAACTAAGGCAAAAACAACACGAGTCAACTTAAAAAAAACCTCGGTAAATAGTTCTAGCTCCACTAGTGGAACCAAACTAATTTCCGCAAGTGGAACATATCCGTGGACATCTGTGATTTAGATATTCCGTAACGTTGAACTTTATCACAATGGCATCCGTAAAACTGTACAAGAGATTACTTCAACCTTTACATATAGACAACATTTTTTAAATAACTTACTTGTAACCAGCAACAATCAATCAAGGTATTCACGTTAGAAGCTGTGGCGCACGTCCTGGACTATCGTACAAACTGAACGGGCTTTTTTATATACAAAGACAGTTTTTTTTATAAATCGTTTAAAGGGACAATAGCGACGTTTATAGAGGTTACTGCAGTAACATTTTTGTCAAATTGTGCATTCACAATTAGTGTTCATTGAAACTACTGTTGCACAGGTTTACATAAACCACGTACATTAATGTGCAATTGCAACATTTCTAGAACTTTGAATAACTGTGTAAACAAGCCCAGTTATTTCGAACAAATGTAGGTCACTCTTTCAGTTCACGGATTTATGTTATGTTTTCACTCACGGTTCAGTCTCGATTTCTTATCCCCTTTGTGACTTACAGACATTCAACTTATGGAATAGATATGGAAGAATCTGACGATTGGCAAAAAAGTAGACGATCCTGACTATATTAAACTAAGCTTAGTTTTACGGTCGAATTCTGTTACGTGAGTTTTCAAATTCATTTTAAGATGTGTGTTCATGTTACTTGGTATTGCATGCAAGACTTTCATTTTGAATATCATTTTATGTTTCAACGACTGCTTAAAAGTTCTCAGATATAAAGTAGTTTTCAATCATGTAACTTAGCATAACAATTCATCACTGAGAAGCTATTTTTCGTACCAGCTTCTAACCAAAAAAGTAGGGTACTCTCACTAACATGACTTGGATTTAGTTTTACGTCCCATTAATTTCTAAGCAGTATATGCAATGTTCTTATGTTGTGTGCATATATGGCAATGCATCTAAAGATGTTGATAAGCTTTTCTCGACATTTTTTAACTATAAGGGTTTTTCAGAGGTTTGAACATCATGATTATCTAACAATACAGTATGTTGTTGGTTCTTCTTACAGGATATGCATCTTATGTAGTTGTCTATCGTTGACTTATTGGCTACTTGTAATATACATTTCATACAAAGAGAACCAATTTTGTTGTTCTCTCCTGTTCAAATCCATAAACCGTTTACACCCTTCCCCATGTTTTCAAGCGCAATCGATGTACGCTATGGTTGGTTTGGTAGTCAAACCATCCTTTCCCAAAGTATATATATGAGATGACCCGTTAACACTTGCATGCAATCATTCTACAGAAGGGATGCATTGATCTCAAACTTATACCCTGCATGTTATTGCTTATCGTAGACCAGCTACCACATCCATTGAAATGAAACAGAAAGTCATAGAAGCAGCACCATGTGAACTTAGAATACCCTTTGTTACAGGAACTACATGCTACAACTTCTGCTTAATTGTAAAACCCTCATAGGAAATCAAAACATGTAGAAAATGTAGTCTTTCTGGGCTTTTAAGAGTGTCTTCAGGATGAAGAGAATAAGTTATAAGTTTCTGCATCTGATCTTACTCACATGTGGCATTTAGCTAGGCAAAAAATACATGCTTTTACAGCTTTTAAAGATAACAATAAAAATACAATTCTGTAGCAAAATAAGTCTGTTCAAACAGCAATTCTACATGGTAAAGATCTTCAAGAATCGATTTTCATTTTTTTCACTCAAGTCAATTGCGTATCTTTATGATTTATTTTGTTGTTTCTATAAAGTTCGACTTAATGAGTTCCATTATCTTGACTTACATCTTTATAGACAAACAAAATTGCTTTGAACATTCGCTAATATGCTGAGGTCACGTTAAGACAAGAGCTGAAGTTCCACATTCGACATACAAGATTGAAATGTCATCAGTGGAATGAGCTAAAATGAGATATACTTACATTTACCAGAAGTGTCGCAGCACCCGCCATCACCATTGTTCATACCAGTGTCTTTACCTAAATATATCATGAACAAATAATGAAAACACTATTATAGTACAATTCATCAACGGATTGATTGCATGAACATACATCCTAAAAAACACCAGAATTAATGAAAAAATGCAGTATATTTCAGGCCCCCGTCTGTGCGGGTGTCATGCTAGACCCAAAAATGCAAGTGAAAAAAATCAATCCTTCCATAAACGTGACGGTGTTAGGTTCTTGAGTTAATACATGACATGTACAATGTACCTAGCAAACTTTAAATACGTTTTACTTACCAAATCCTTTAATTTGGTCTGGTGAGAACCCAGCATACTGATACTTCCCCGATGTTGCTTGTTGTCCTTTATTTGGTTGATATGATCCTGTATTAGGGTCGAATCCTCCCTGGTTGTTTACCATTGTACCACCTAACAATCGTACAATTAACATCGCATATTATTCATTTATTATCTAAAATCTATTGATTACTTATTTAGATATAACAACTCACATCAAGATATACAGATTTGTTAAAGACAACTCTCTCTCTCTCTCTCTCTCTCTCTCTCTCTCTCTCTCTCTCTCTCTCTCTCTCTTTTTCGGGGAAAAGGGGGGGGGGCTCCCATCAATTACTTCCATTAAGACATCTCTCATTTCTGAATATATTCATTGTCCTGAACTAGCTCAGGGTAGATTCTAAAGCTATCGGTGTATTTTTTTTTTACTTAAGATTATTTAAGATTAATTGAAAGGTCATCATAAAACTTTAATCATGACTCTTTTGACAAGAACGGGCGGGAAAAGTTTGGCAGATATACGACTAACTTTGTAAGGAACTACACTTTTCCTCAGAAATTAACATTAGGAAGACGATTACAGGATCCTTTCAATGGTTACGTAAATTCGGTCTATCGGTGCAGTTCTTTGTTGAGATGGGTCTATAATTATACCAATTGTATCGTGAAGGTACATTGTGATTTCAATTATCATGCATTATACTTGTAATCGATTTTTAATGAATATTTTGATGTTTTTGGTCAGGAACATTTTTCGTAAGTTATAATTTTGACGAAAACAAAATTACTAAATGTTCATTTGAATTCTGAATAGGAGACCGTAAGTCACTTTGTTTTCCAAATTATTCATCAATTAAATTACAGCCTTTTAAGTGTCCTTGGTGAAAGCAAACCCCAAACACTCCGCACAGTATTTATGATGACGTGTTATTTGTATTTACCATATAAACTCACCGCCAAATCCGTTGAAGGTTCCACCTGACGAACTACTCGATGATCCTGATGAACCACCCGAAACTATGCCTGCAACAGCTGAACCAACTGATCCTCCAGACGAACTTAAAGCACTACCAAATTGACTCGCCGCAGAACCCGATGAACCGGATGACCCGAAGAACTGACCTGCTTGTCCGTTTCCACCTCCTGATCCGAACGAAGCAGACCCACTTCCACTACCACTACTACCAGACCCAGTACCAAAAGATCCACTACTAGCGCCACTCCCTGATCCACTTCCACTGTTACTACCTGAACCGAATCCTGAACCAAACGAACCAGTTCCACTACCACTACTGCCAGTTCCGAAACCCGATCCAAAAGATCCACTGCCACTACTCCCAAACCCAGAACCAAATGATCCACTTCCACTTCCACTTCCACTACTGGTACCACCACTACTAGATCCAAATCCTGATCCAAACGATCCAGATCCACTTCCACTACTACCAGATCCACTTCCACCGCTCCCAGAACCAAAGCCTGACCCAAACGACCCACTTCCACTACCACTACTACTTCCTGATCCAAAACCTGTTCCAGATCCACTGCCGCCAGAACTAAAAGACCCAGAGCTACCTCCTGATCCAAATGAACCCATTCCACTACCAGAGCCAAATGATCCAGAGCCGCCGCCACCAGTACCACTGCCAGTTCCAAAAGCTGAACTAAAAGAGCCCATTCCACTTCCACTACTACCACCAGAACCAAATGTTCCAGAGCTACTTCCGCTTCCAGTACTTCCAGTTCCAAAACCTGAACCAAAGGAGCTCATTCCACTTCCACCAGAGCCACTACCACCTGAAGACCCAAATCCATTTGAAAAACTACCTGCACTCAATTCAGCCATAGATCCTTTTTCAAATCCACCAGCACCTTTGCTACTAGAACCTCCCGTTAATGAGGATAACGCTGAACTTACTCCACCAGAACCTCCTGTTAATGAGGATAATGCAGAACCAGCCCCTGATAATACAGACCCAGTTGCAGATGATAAGGACCCAGAACCAGATGATCCAGAACCTCCTACACTACCGAAACTGCCACCAAAAGCCGAAGATTTATCAGTGTAATGACCGTTCCATGATGACTGGCCACCACCCCCTGATCCAAACCCAGAACCTGTTCCAAATCCATTGTTACTTGTAGAACCACCACTATTGGAAGATGTTCCTTGTCCAGAGTCTGTCAACAATGCAACTCCTAGTAGAATAACAGTGCGATTATTCACTTTATATTGCCTTTTGTTGGAATTAAAGTAATGTAGCTAGCACCCTCTCTTGTTAATTCTCATTATTTTCAATATTAAGGAGTTATTATTAGGAGTAAAAATGTTAAGATATTTAAAAAATAAAGTTGTAAATTGAATAGTTAAATTTTAATACGCAGGAATTCATCAGTCCCAACGAATCTCGGAATGTAGGCTACCTGTTAGAAGAGCAATTTCATCAGCAGAATGCTTTTTGAAGTTTTTTAAAATATATAGCCGATAGCGGAACGGTAGATAAAATTTTCTAACAAATTGAATCTAATGTTAAGTTAGGCAAAATACTTGAATCTAATTTTAAGTTAGGCAAAATACTTGAATCTAATGTTAAGTTAGGTAAAATACTCGAATCTAATGTTAAGTTAGGCAAAATACTCGAATCTAATGTTTAGTTAGGCAAAAAACTCAAATATATGTCGGATTATTTATTATTTTTGTTTTATAGACTAATGCATTGTTATTATTTATCTTTATTTCCGATAGCTCAATGTCTATTTTTCTTAATTCGAGGGACAAAAGTACCTTTTCTTACCTTTAAAAAAAATAAGGAGATATGGTATAGTTGTCAATGAGATAACTATCCACCAAAGTTCAAATGAAGTGGATGTAAGAAATTATAGGCAACCGTACGGCCTTCAGCAATGAAAAAACCCATACCGTATAGTCGGCTATAAAAGGCCCCAACATGAAAAATATGAAACAATTCAATTAAGAAAACTAACGGCCTAATTCATAACAAATCAATTCCCTTTATTACCGAAATTTCTAGAAAATGAAATATATACGTTTAAATATTTTCGTTTTGTTTTGTTTAAACCGTATGATATATTTTGTAAAGTGTATATACATCATCAACAATTTCCTTCGTGTTATATTTTGCAAATTAAAATAACTATCAGGAAAATACGAGTGAACTTTGCGTGTGTCTGTCTGTTATTTACTGATATTTATCGCACAGGTATGTTCGTATGACGCATATTTCAAAATACCGCCAGGTTGTCTTGCAGTTTACAGTAAGAAAAATTCTCAGTGATGCAGAACTCACCATTTGTCGATAACGCTATGAACAACAAGCTGAATAAATAAACAATTGTCGCCATTTTCTCTCCAATACCATGCCTTATCACACCTTGTCAAGCTATCAAGATTATTTTTAATTTGTTTCTTTCATGACAATTGTACTCCCAATTCGTCCTGATTCCCATGGTTCTGACTAATCTTGTAAAACCGGATTTTATTACTATTAACTAGAAGATACCACATGGTGTGCAGAATTTTTAATTTTCCCGAAAAATGTTGATTGGTAAAATATAAAAGTTTGCAAGTTCAGCTTTGTTGACACGTCTTTAATGCTATTATGAGAGACCAGCAAAAACATTTGTTTCACTGTAGTAAAAGAATATCACGTTTTCTGAAGGTGTTCTTCCCTGCTGATGTTGCACAGAAAATCAGTTGTTTGGCTAATGGTACAATGGAAGATGCTCATTTAATTTTCGAAGTTATTTATGCCTCTTTACTTGTAAAAAGAACTAAAACTTATTACTATCAGCATGACCAGTGGCTGAAATTGTTTTGCTAACTCAATACGTTTTTGCTGTCTGTTATTTTGTGATTGATGTCTTCAATCGATCACTGTTTCAAGTGTATTCATTCCGGGAAAGATCAAGCAAGCTAAATTTTTGAAAAGGGGTTAATTCTTGCAAAAAAGGAGATTCCGGTCCGATTTAGATTAAATCGACCCAAAGATTGAAATATAATTGTTCGTGCATTTGTCGTATTATAGGTTCATTTTGAATAAACAATTTCAAGATAATTTTGTCAATCCACATATATCTTGGATAAAACGAAAAGTGGGTCATAATGATTCAAAATTTTAAGAAAGATTCACCAACTTCGCTTTTGTGTTTTGGACAGTATAACTAGTCTTAATATAATTTTAGATGCAATTAATTGCAATAAGTTGCATTGAATGCAACTTCCTTATCTTGCTCACCTTTTGCCAATACTTTTTTTGTAATAGTTGATCATGTACAAAATTCGCTCTTTGTAGATTTTTCAATACTAATCTAACTGGTACAATCTGTACACAACTTATACAAACTATACATTTTGTACGTGTAGACTTTTAACGTTTCAGGCAAAACAACTTAAGACAATAAAATTAGAAATGAAGATTTAATACAAACACAACTATTTGTATATATGTATGTATTTTCCACCATAATATTTGTTAGATCTAAATATTCACGCGCTCATTCTTGTGTGTTTCTGTAAATTGACTAGATTGATTGTTGTTTACTTTTAAGGTCAAGGAAGGTACAGTAAATAGGCTATGTCACAGATTTTGGTAACCTTTTGCATTAAACTTTTGCTCGTTGAACTATAATTCAAACTTAAATGATGAATTTATTATCTGAAATATTACTGTTTGGATTCTTTCAAAATTTGTGAAGATTTTTATAGAAAGCACATAAAATCGGCATAAAACGTTCTTAAATTTGTCTTAAAATCATCAAATTTCCGATTTCAAATCCATAGATTTTTCTCAAAAAATTACATGATGTTGATACATAAATTTCCGTTTTTTTTTCTTCACCCAGAACACCACTTTGAGTGATATATAAAATAGTCGGTGACCTTATTATCATTTTACATCATTAAAACTGAAATTGATGTATTAACAACATATAGTTTTTAAAGACACCTCTATGGATATGAAATTGGAGATTTGGTGATTTTAAGTCAAATTTAAGAACATTTTTCACCGATTTTATGCGCTTTCTATACAAATGATCACCTTTTTTTAAAAGAATTCATTCAGTGATATTTTAGATAAAAAAAGAGATAACTGCATTATTTTTTTCGAATTTCAGTTATTATAGTTCAACAAGCCGAAGTTGTATGCAAAATTTTACAAAACTATGTGAAATAGAAATAAGAAGATGTTGCATGAGTGCCATAAATAACCCATTTACTGTTCCTCGACCGTAACGCCCAGTGTCTTTGGCATGCATGTTCAGGACGTAAATTGACTAGATGTTGATATAAAATCAGTCTGATTAAAACCAGCCCCCACTATCCACTTGCGGTTGTAGCCTACAAACGCAAGTGGATAGTGGGGGCTGGGTTTAATCAGACAGATATAAAATATGTTTATCTAGAATATGGAGTATATCTAGTAGCAGTCGGTCATTTTATGCAGCCAGCAAGATCGATTTGAGAGATCTGATTAGCTACTTTGATTGCGTGTACTTATTTACATTTCAACCATTAGATAGTAATAATAATAATGATGATGATGATGATGATGATGATGCTTTGTACTAGACCGACACGCTGAGCCGCATTTTCTACGTGCTAGTTCACAAGGTAATAGTCCGCAGGAAGACATGTCATCTTACCCGGACACATTATTCCGACTCCCAGCTAGCTAACCAGTCTTTGTTCTTACTCCTTAATGCCGCGTGCTTAGCAGAGAAGCAGCATAACCAATTCAATTTTAAAGTCTTTGGTTTGACCCGGATAGGGTTCGAACTCACGACCACCCGCACTCGAGGCGAACACGATACCACCGAGGCGGTTTCTCACGGAATGATTGGACGATGTACTATCATGGTAAAGAGTTCAAAATAGCTCGATTTCATCTTTTAGTCAAATGCAGACATTTACAAATGGTCAAGAACTTGTACAAGCTAGTTACATGTATATTTATAGTTGAGCATAAAATTCATTTTCAATCCTATGTTTTTATGCAACGTAATTTAAAACGGACTATTGCAAAAAAAATATATTAGGTTGAAATTAGATTCACTGCTGAACACTGTCAAAACTGTATCAATAAATTCATCATAGATACCAGGATTACAATATTGTACGCCAGACGCGCGTGGCTAGACGCGCGTTTCGTCTACAAAAGACTCACCAGTTACGCTCAATCAAAACATAAAAAAGGCCAAATAAAGTACGAAATTGAAGAGCATTTAGGACCCAAATTTCCAAAAGGTTTTGCCAAATAAAGTAAACTTGATCTTTTTCGATTAGGATTTAGTGAACACATTATGTGAACATCGCTACTTGTTTTCCTGATTTGAACTGTTTAAGGCTTTATGCTTTTTGAAATCGGCTATGAACTGAGTATTTTGTGGACATTTTTTTATTGACGAGGGTTCTTCTTTTTTCTTTCTTTTTTAAATGTTTTATTTTTGGGAAGGAAATTTTAAACTATTATTTGTTAACATTATTTAAATTGGTTTTTTTTTCCATTTATTGAGAAAAAATATATTTCAATTAAATGAATACTTAACTAGCTAATATCGTTTCTCACTTACTTGCAGAATCACTATGCTTATATACCTATCTCAGTTCAGGAACCTCGTTGTTGGTTGTAGCAATCTATTAATATTTTTTTATAATTTACGGTTGATGTCACACAGGTCGTCTGTATTGGGTTACTGTCTCATTTATAGTTGACCTTCACACAGAGAAGATTATTTTTTAAATCCAGAAACACCATGGTCAGGTTGCGATCTTTATGAATTTGTAAATGAAACCAATAACTGAAAAGGGGTATTATTTTTGTTTGTGATGAGGACTGTAGAGTCTGCTGACAACTTATATTAAAGGATGAAAAGTACATGTAGGTATTGTGACCTTTGATTTAATTACCAAACAATCTATACGGTCTTCTTTATTTCAGTTTGATGATTCATGAATATATTTTCTATATCATAAAATAGATCATTATCACACAAAGTTTGATAAAAGTTCCGACCGTGCAAGACCCTCATGGGTCGTCAAGGTCGTCAAAATCCGCCCTCGTCGTCCTGATAAAAGTCATACAAATTGTTCAAAAGAAAACACCCGGCAACCAATATGCTGTCCTTATTTCAGTCTATCATTTGCTGCTGTGGCCTTGTCGTTTAACCTGGTGATCTCGAAATAATCAGAGATCGTCCTAATTCCATAGGATATTATCACACTAAGGTTTGTATAAGTAATACAAATGGTTCAAATATAACACCCGGAAACCAAAACTTGGTTTTAATTTCAGTCTATCGATTACTTCTGTTACCTTAACGTTTAACCTAGACTAGCGACAAAAAAATCGAGATCTACTTCATCCCATAGGACATTATCACACCAAGTTTTGTGAAAGTAAGACACATGTTAGACCTTTGACCTATTGCATCCAAAATCAATAATTGTGTTCTCATCTCATATGTACATTTGTATTGTATTATCAAACAAAGATTGGTAAAACAATGGGTATATTGTTGAAAAGATAACATCCGCAACCAAACTCGTGAATTTACCAGATTGTATAACAAGGAGTTCAAATAAAATTTTAATATACATGTAAAAAAAAATAACAACAACTATATATCTTAACATTGAACAAGTAGTACGTACCGCTTTGTTAAATCAAGGAATACCGTTCCTTAACAGACAAATAAATAATAAATGATATTTTGTTATGTTATTCAATCGTATTTCTACTTTGAAAAATAGCAACACCAATGAAATAAACATAAGTTGTACAAATATTAATTTCTTACTTAAAGAGCTTATGTTGAGAAGCAGTTAAAACTAGTTTTACAATAAAATGACTCGACAAGCTGATTCCTTCATCACATCTCCGTTGTTCTCTTATTTCTTAAATTATTGCGTATAATCAATATTATTCCAAGGCCGACGGCTATAACTGCCACGCCAAATGTTAAAAGATATCCATAACGAGTACAATGTAAACCTTTACAAAACATTGAAGCATCTGAACTGACTTCAAGATCATATATTTCACCGAAAATCAAATGAAGAATAATTATCAGAACAGCTCGCAGAAGCATTACCAATCCCCAGTTCCGCATTAAATTATCAATGTGGAACACTTCACTCATAGCTGTAGGTCCAATGGTATATACTATACCTGTTCCAACAGCAGCTAACACTACCGCAGTGATGACAACACCCTTGCCTGACGATAAAAAAGCATTTAATATCGAACTGATGGCTAAACATACTACTCCGGCGATTAAAAATGACGTCCTCGTTAGTGTATGCTTCAATTTGTCGGATGCTAAACTGAATACCAATGCGGCAACAATAACTATCGGTGGATACATGATCGTGATGACAGTATCTATAGAGGTCAGGTCAAGTTCTTTTGTTAAGACTGTCATATTGTTGCTTAGCAACAGAGATACAGCAAATGCCGATGAACACATCCATGCAAGCAATTGATAATCAATAGTGCAGAGGAGTTCCGAAAAGGATTTTTCTGACAATGCGTTCTCAGTGTCCATTGCTTCATATTTGAAATTAGACGAATGTGGTTCCTCTTTCGCAACAGTAATTTCTCCGATATTAGATGGTGTATTTCTGAGGAATATCATGCAAAATATATATACGGCAGCATTGAAAGATACCACAACAATCAAAAACCCTTCTAATCTGGTGGCAGCGGGTAAAGCCTTGTAATATATAACTGTAAAGCTGATCATGCCGATATCAATAAAAATAAACATCATCGCCATTATGCGACCCCTTTTGTCTTCTGCAAAATGTGTTGCGTTGAATCGTAATGCCATAATGTACGCTACAGAACCTCCAAGACCTTCGAAAAAAAAACATAAAGAATATCATTAAAAAGCTTTAGTTCTTAAATTTTCGTCGTTATATATTGAGGAAAGTTCATACAATACTTTATTCAAATTCGTTCTAAATACGATATGATAAACTGGACAAGAAATGTTTAATGGATATTCTCGCGAAGTGTTTTTGCCAGCTGAATTTGGTTTTTGGTAATATGGCTCCTAAGGTTTCTACGAATAAAGACATCCCTGGCTTTCAAATATTTAAGTTTGAGCGTTCGGACGCACGAAGTTCATAGCGTTATTTTCATTCACTGACAAAGTAGTCAACAATATTGTTGTTGATTGACTTACATATTATATAAAAATACTTAAATAAAATACAAATATGCTTCCATTCCTCGTGTCTCATCAGCGACTTAACTAAAAGCTGCTAATTAACATAACATGGTTCCTACAATGAACTGGTTTCATAAATTATGCAAGAGTTCAATCTTATAAGTAATCCAGTAATTTTTTGAAATCAAATTCCCCCCTCCTACATGCACATTAGTTTTTCTGAAATCAAAGGGCGAAATAGGCAAACACATGTTTTGTTGTCGAAATTCAAATTTCAATTTCCCACAGAACGTATTATAGCTGCTACTATGTACTAAAAATGCTTTAACAATAAACAATTGAATAAATGCATTCAAGAATCAAGGCATTGTTTTAAATAGGAATATTTAGAACAAAGGAGTAAATTCGTAACTTACCGCTAATAAGAAAATATAAAGCCATAAGCCAGCTCTTTCCCTCATAAAATGCCACCATCTTTGTAGAACTCCACAATAAAAGTAATCCAGCAGTACTCAACAGTAAACCAATAACTAATATCCACGTAGATTTCAGTTTGCTACCAATTAAATTGGGTAGAAACCCAAGACCAATTCCGGCATTCAACATGGATGCAAATAATTCCACTAAAATGAAATATACTTAATTTTCAATTGCAGTTTAAGTACTAAAGTTTTAGTACCAGTATATATTTATACCTATCTTTTTATCTGTAAAACCGATATTATTTTGTTCAGTGCTTTTCGTTATTTGTGCATTATGTTTTTTCAACTTATCTGGATAAAAAAAGGAGAGAGGGCTTAGTGTTCAACAAACACCTTCAAAGGGGTACACATGTATGATAAGATATCTTCCTTTGATATAACTTCATAAAAATTCAAAAAGAAATGTAGATGTGAGAGTGCTTGAAACTCCTGTAAAAATAATAGATCAGCGCTAATTTTCGAGAAATAACTGATATAAACCTTTATTATAAATGTCATATCAATCCTTCAAGAAATTTAGTATGAGAGTGTTGTCAATGCAATTGTCTATGCGCGGGGGAGGGGGGACAATACAGTTCAACAATTTCATAGTTATATTAGTTTTAGTGTTAAATCAAAAGTATGATATAATCTAGCCCCTACAGTCCAGAAAAGTCAGTTATGGTCACGGTGTCACCATGACGTCATAAATATGTTAAAATTGACGTATATACGACATAAACAGGCCATTTTACACGTTTTTATTTTGTTAAGTAAGTAATGAGACCAGGCCTAACCCAAAAAATAGTTTTTTTGTAGCGTGATTGAATTATACTCATGCGCATATGCAAATTTTAACAATACCTTCTGTCTGGTTATAGTGAAACTTGGCTTTGATATCATTAATGTAGACATAGAATATCAGATTGGATGCCAACATAGCATGAGCTAATCCCCCGGCAAGTAGAGACATCCATCGGAGACAATAGTTCTTCTTTGGTGTCGACAGGAGTTGGTCTCCTTCATTCTCCTGCAAATAGAAATACAACTATAAACGTAGTCAAATGACCAGTAATTCCTGAAATTACCTCAATCGAAGTTTGTTTGTTTTTCTATTTTTTGCTACCTAAACAAGAGGCTCTCAAGAGCGTGAATCGCTCACCTGTAATTTTTTGCTTAAATCTTTCATCGATGATTATTTTTGCTTTTCAATATATATTAATGAATGGCTTAAAACTTCCATTGAAATGTTCTTTGTATCTGTCATATTTTCTTCAAAATCAAAGAAATGTATTTTACCCCTATGTTTCATTTTAGCAAAAGTGGCTATGTTTCTTGACGTACCAGAAAATAAAATACAAAATTTATACTAGATACTCTGAAACTCATTCAGCCCAAGTTTGGCTGAAATTGATTCAGCAGTTTCAAAGGAGAAGATTTTTTAAAGTAAGCAAACTAAATGAACAAATTGTGAAAAATTGATTTTAAAGGGCAATAACTCCTTAAGGGGACAATTGATAATTTTGATCATACGAACTTATTTGCAGATCTTACTTTGCTGAACATTTTTGCTGTTTACAGTTTATCTTTATCATTAATACTATTCAAGATAATAACCAAAATCTGCAAAATTTCCTTAAAATTACCAATTAGGTGGCAGCAATCCAACAATGGATTGTTAGATTCATCTGAAAATTTCAGGGCTGACAGAGCTTGACCTAATAAACATTTTTACCTCTCATCAGATTAGCTCTAAATGCTTTGGTTTTTGAGATATAAGCCAAAAATTGCATTTTACCCCTACGTTCTATTTTTATCCATGGCGGTCATGTTTTTTTACGAAACAGAAAATAAAACACAAACTTTATTCTAGATACTCTTAGAATCATTCAGCTTAAGTTTGGTTGGAATTGGTTCAGTAGTTTCAGAGAAGAAGATTTTTCAAAGTTAAAAAAAATGATAAACCAATTGTGTAAAGTTGTCCTTAAAGGGCAATAACTCCTTAAGGGGTCAATTGACAATTTTGATCATATGAACTTATTTGTAGATCTTACCTTGCTGAACATTTTTGCAGTTCACAGTTTATTTTTATCATTAATAATATTCAAGATAATAACCAAAAACTGCAATGGATTATCAGATTCAACTGAAAATTTCAGGGCTGATAGAACTTCACCTAATGAACACTTTAACCCCTGTCAGATTTGCTCTAAATGCTTTGGTTTTTGAGATATAAGCCAAAAACTGCATTTTACACCTATGTTCTATTTTTAGCCATGGCGGCCATGTTATTTGACGAACAGTAAATAAAACACAAACTTTATTCTAGATACCCTAAGCATCATTCAGCTTAAGTTTGGTTGAAATTGGTTCAGTAGTTTCAGAGGAGAAGATGTTTGAAATAGTTTACACCAGACGGACGACGACGGACGGCAAGTGATGGCAAAAGCTCACCGTTCCAAAGGCTAAAAAAAGTTTTTCAATTTTTTTATTATTGAAAACATATTATTGACTGGTTAAGCTTATTAAGTCTTTAAGTGAAGGAAAAATGCCTGTAAAACACAAATTCCATAAAGTAGTTCTAATATTGCTCTTACACAGTGGTGTGTATATATAAATAACTGTTATAGATTTTTTTTCTGTAAATAAGAAAACATGGTAATCACTGTTAAAATAGTTTAATTATCTAAAATATCCAAACATTTATAGGCGTATAAAGTAATTGCTTAATCTAAATTAAAAAAAGAAGAAAAGAATCACATGAAATATTGATCGCTGCTGAATCACATAATGTAACAGATTCCATGTATTTTTAAAAATAAACAGGTGTTAATTGGTGTTAAAAGTACACACTTTCGTTTATTGTTTTGAACATAGACCAGAATATCGTCTTGAAACCACACTTAATTTATATCTATGCAATGAAATTAAAAACAAACATGAAACAGTCTCAATGACATAAAAAATGAAAATAAAAGGTTTAAACTAAATCTAGTTTAAGAGTTTGGGGTCAAACTAAAGTGGGAGATATAAACAATAAAGTGTAAAAATTGTAATATTATCATTGAGGATGAGGAACACTTTTTTTTCTCATGCAGCTTGAGAAAAAAGTTTTAGACATGAATATTTCAAAGAAGTTCAAGAACTATAAAAAAAAAGTATGGCTGCATAGGAAAAAAATTACACTTAATTTCAAAATCTATATATAAAATGATTTCTCAGTAATCACATGTCATAAATATATTTAATAATAACCATAAGATACTGTACACATTACATTATATTAAAAATATAAATTTCATCAGAATCGGGCCCGAATTAAATTTTTGACAATATTTTTGAAAAATATTTTTATTTGAGTACTAATTATATAGGGACATTTTCGTGTGGTGAAACACTTTTGACCTCTGACTGAATGAATTGAAGAGATTATATATATATATATTAAGATGAACGGTTAATAGCACTTTTCATTAAAGTACATGTATTCCTTATTTAAGTGAAGACGTATATAAATTTTATGCATACGACTTAAGAATTTTACTTAACTAAAGGAATTCTTAGTGAAATCTAAATTTAAGTCCTTAACACTTAAAGGGGCATTAGCTACGTGATATAAAAACATATATAATATGATGTGTTTTGTTCAATCATTAATGAAAGTGAAATAGTGAAATAATAGTTCGCTTTTTAGCAGCAAGTTTGGTTCATTTTTGTCAAAATAAGCTAACATTAGAATTAATCCCTTTAAGTTAATGTTGTACGTAAGTACCAAAATCCTTCTAGTAGATATATTGATCTACAACCAATGTAACAGATGTAGGATTTGTAAAAAAAATTGTAACTGGAATGAAAGGTCAAAAGTTGAACTCGGATTGATGAATGGCGTTTGGACAGTTGATTTTGTTTCGAGTTTGATTACCTTTCCTTAACATTTGAAATCAATATATATGAGGGAAAAAAAAAATTAAGCGTTTTTAAGTTTCTTTAACACAATGCAATGCAAAAAAAGGAAACTGCTTGATACCTGTGGATTGAAAGACGATATAGAAATTTCTATGTTGTGTTTTGAGTACTGTTGTTTGTCTTTTCGTGGTTTTTCGTTGTTTTTGTTATATTTAATTTTTGCCATGGCATTGTTAGTCTGTTTTCGACTTCTGGCTTTGAAAATCCCTTGGGTATCTTTCGCTTCTCTCTTTATAAAACTGTATACAAATGTAAATCTACATACAAACTAATATGATACTTTATCTTTGTGTACCCTTAGTACGTTATATGAGCGAACGGAACTATATTGAAATTAAGCAGTATCGCTTTCTATAACATAGAGACATCGACTCGGAATCAAAAAATAAAATCTTATCATATAATGCAATATACTTTCTAGCATTTCATATAAGTAATTACATTTTATTTTTATTTCTAGTTCGAAAAGAAATTGTATTGACATTCACACTATCTTATTATGTAACAGTGAATGTAGTTGTGATTTATTTCTGTGTAATTTATTCAACTTAACTAGGAGACAGATTGATATAAGCACCAGTAGCTTGTTTCTCAGGAATCCAAGTTGACCTTATGGACATTTATTTTGTATAATATGTATTTGTTTTTCCATTTAAAGATAATATTTTGTATAATATGTATTTGTTTTTCCATTTTTAGATAAACATTGTGTACAATAACGCATGATTCAACATGAACATAGAATAATATGGTAATCTAAGAACAAAAAGCGTATATTACTTAATGAATCGCACGAAAACATATTTTTATTTATTTAGGCAGAAGGAGTCTTAAATGGAAAATATTAAACAAGTATCTACGTTGTGGTAAACATTTATTTTTCTGGTCGTATTATATTTTTATTCAGTGTTTTTAGCTTTGTATTTTTTTTTTTTTACATTTCAAGACAGAATTCAGAAATTGTATCCATTTCCTGTAATGAATCTTAAATAATCATACGACAATGCGTCTTTGTAAAACATAAATCCCTTATCATATTTTTGAAATCGCAAAATTCAGAATTATTTTTAAAACATATGCTTTTTGGTAACTTTTTCCTCTTTTTGTCTCCTGAAGACGGTTTTGCTTTTACTGTATATTTTAAGTGATTATTAACATTCAGAATCTTTCTTTACAAAATCTTTCTTCACAAAATCTTTCTTACAAAATCTTTCTTTACAAAATCTTTCTTTACAAAATCTTTCTTTACAAAATATTTCTTTTATTCAGAATATGTATGTGTATGTGGTAAGTAAAATGAAAATAAGCTTAAAATTTGTGTTGATATGCTCTCACAGTTATCAATAAAATGGTACTTGTATAACTTTTATCGTGACACGTATTTTATAGGCGTATGACACGTTTTATTATGTTCTTATGTCATACTACCACTTTATATAAGGATTAAAATTATAAACACAAAGCTGAATCCGTTTCTGAATCTGCTAAGAATAAGACTTAAAACAGGATATATGCACCTAAATTTTCCATCGACAAGAAAAATAGAATAAGGCAAACTAGATGAACAAATTGTGAAAAAAAATGTCTTTATAGGACAATAACTCCTAAAGGGGTCAATTTTCAATTTTGGTCATAAAAACTTATTTGTAGATCTTAAACTTATTTGTAGATCTTACTTTGCTGAACATTTTTGCTGTTTACAGTTTATCTTTATCTATAATAATATTCAAGATAATAACCGAAAACTGCAAAATCTATCTCCTTAAAACTACCAATTTAGTGGCAGCAACCCAACAATGAGTTGTTAGATTCATCTGAAAATTTCAGGGCTGATAGAACTTTATACCTAATGAACATTTTTATCCCATGTCAGATTCCTTTAAATGCTTTAGTTTTTGAGATATAAGCCAAAAACTGCATTTTACCCATATGTTCTATTTTTTGCCATGGCGGCCATGTTTTTTGACGAAACACAAAATAAAACATAGGCTTTATTCTAGATACCCTAAGGATCATGCAGCTAAAGTTTGGTTGGAATTTGTTCAGTAGTTTCAGAGAAGAAGA